CAACTGAGGGGGAGACAACCGAGGGGGAGACAGTGGGGGGAGAGAGAGGGGAGGAGGAAGGGGGCACAGTGAAGGAAGAGGAGGAGGAAGTAAGGGAGGAAGGAGAGAGCAAAGGAGAGACAGAGCAGACAGTGACGGAGGAAGAGGAGAGAGTGAAGGAGGAGGAGGAGACAGAGGGAGGTGACACAGAGGAGAAGGAGGAGGAGACAGAGGGAGGTGACACAGGGGAGAAGGAGGAGGAGACAGTAAGAGAGGAAGGAGAGAGAGGAGAGGAGGAAGAGGAGACGGTGAAGGACGAAGAGGAGGTCGTTAAACAAGAGGAAGAGAAGGAGGAGGAGGAGGTGAAGGCTGGAGGAGCAGAGGAGTCAACAAGAGAGGAAGGAGAGGAGGAGAAGGGAGGAGATGAAGAAGGAAAGGAAGGAAGTGAAGAGGGTGAGGCGGCATGACGTCATCATCCTGCGTCTGTCGTTTCTCACGTGTTCAAGTCTCCCCGCTCAACTCAGGAGAGAGGGGGCGGGGTCAAAGAGAGCGCTGACGTGATTGGACAGGAGGCTGATTAGACTGAAGTGTCTCTGCTGGACTGTGATTGGACAGCTGTGCTGAAGGTGGGAGGGACAGGTTGGTGATTGAGGTGTGCTGAAACCAATCAGGAACTTTTGATTGTTTAAACAGTTTGAGAAAGCAACAGAAGAGTTCATATTTATAATCAAAAAAAGATTTTAAAAAGTTAAAAAATATATATTTAATTCAATATTTTATTTAAACAGATTTATCTTCAAACCTTCAGACAGTCTAAGACACTCTGAGGGTCACTTTAACACTCTAGAGGACGATTTTCTCTCATTAAGTCCAAATACACTGAATCCTACATTTCCCACAATGCACCTGACCTGTACCTTCTTTCTTATTCACACTCTACAGACATAAAGAAGATTTATCAGAGAAAGAGGAGGATGTAACAGTGCAGCTATTCATTATTATTATCAGCCACTGCCCTTTCAAAATAAAAGACTACAGCCAACAAACAAAGGCTGGCTTTTATTGTGAAACAGCCCCAGGACTCTGAGTTATAAAAACACCTGCTGTTACCAGCTGTGACCACCAGGTGTCACCAAATCACTGAAGGACTACAGAGGCACATTAAAAACATCAGAGATTTTCAGAATAAAAGTACAAAAACTGTATGAAAATAGGAGATTTATATATGAAAGTGAATATGGAGGTGATAAAACAAACGACTTACAAACGTGAAAAGTTTCAACATTTCTAAAAAGTCTTAAAAATAAATCAAAGTGGTAATATTACAAAAAAGTCAGAAGACAAATGTCTAAATATTTTAAAAAGTCTGAAAATTTTAAGAAATTAAATTAACTTCTGTGAAAGTGGAAACATGAGAAACAATCACAATAAAACTAGACTAAAAATGTAAAAACAAGAAAAAAGTGGAGATAGAAGAAGAAAAAAAGTCAATAACCAATTACAATGACTGGAGAAAGTCTGAATTATACTGTGAAAGAGTCATATCATTATTAGACTTAAGTCCTTTAATACAATTAAAGCTCTGATGAGGTTTTTTCCTCATTTATGAAATAGATTAAAATTCATATTAATGTCTTTTTATGACCGTCAGCATCAGGACTGATCATTTTTAATATCTGAACCCGGAGCGAGGGGTTCGGTGTCAGCTCAGTTTTTACAGTTTCTACATAAAATATTGACAATAAAGAAAAAACAGAACTGTCAGAGGTCGACAGGATGAGATTTATACTGAAGGTCACTAAACATGTCAAAAATAAGATAAGTAAAGACTTCTTTGTCCACAGGGGGGCGCCAAAACAGACTCAAAATCACTGACAGGGGCTTTAAGTGGAATCTTGATGTTTCAGGAATAAAGAGTTAATTTTAGAGAGAACAGCTCTGATCTGTGGAGCTGCTGTTTTTCAGAATAAAACCAGTTTATTAGGATCATGAAGGTTTAAGGACTCGCTTATTTTCAGTAAATTTGAAGTTAAACTCGACAAGATGCTCCATGTTGTCGCTCAGACCGCAGACTCCAATGTTCCCCTTCAAAATAAAATACAGATTAACTTAAACCGTAGCCTCCTCTCATGATATCCTGACTTTAATCCTAAACTCTGATATTTTCTATCGTAGAGTCAGAGCGTTTATCTGCTGCTCACCGAGGTTTGACCTTTTCCAGACTCTTTATTCAGAAAATCTCCTGTTTTATTTCTCTGACTCTGACAACGGCGCCGTGTGTGAGGTCACAAAGTGGCGGTTCATGGCTGTCATGGTGCCTTCGATTTCAGCGTCAGTTCCTGATTGGTGGAGAGAGTTTTTAGCCGATGAACAAAGAAGTTTCTATTGAAATAAATCTGAGAGATTATTTATGTGCTGTACCTGAGATTATACTGATTCTACTGCTGTTACCCACTGATGTAAAGATTGTATGTACATCGTTTTATAGAGATATCAAATATCTTAAGTCTGTCCTCTCGTTTTCAATGAACCTGTACAGATAGATTTTATCAATTAATTCTCTGTATTTAGAGTTTTTAGGCGTGTTTAGAGCTGATTCACATGAGATTTTCTATTCCACAGTCAGACTGTAGGGGGCGTCACACCGGCCAGTTTGGCACATTGATGGTCAGATAGAGTAAAGGAGGCTGAGCTGATACAGGAGGACGCTGTGAGGGCGGAGCAGGGCGCGGTCTGTCAGCCATCTTTGTCACATGGTTCACAGGTGTGTTTCACTTAGTCGAGCTTCTCCGACAGACTCAGATCGGAGGTTAACTATGAGTTTCACTTCTGTACGGGCGCTTTTCTTCAACACAAAGAACATTTCCACAATTAAAGGCGAATTTCTACCAAATAAAGACAAAAACAGGCTGACAGTCATTCAAGACTTTCCTAAAGACCAGCGACTACTTTAACCAGTCAGTCTTTATTTATATTGCACTTTTCTTACACGCCCATGTAGCACAAAGCGCTTTACACAGAAAAAGGAATAAAAGAAACAAAGAAAACCTCGATCTACCCCAACCCAGGAAAAAAAGACCCAGGCTTTAAATCTCTGACTAAATATTATCAACATTAGCTTCTCTAACAGCCGAGCTAATTATCCGTTTCTCTGGAGATCCATTATGAACGTTAACTCTCCCAGCAGAAGTTAAACAAACGGATATTTTCCACAGAAACAAAGAAGAAAAACAGACCTCAGTGAATGTCTCTGAGGTCTTCAGGCTCTTTAAGAAACTTTAACTCAGATCTTTAACTTAGTTTTCCTCTCGTTTCGGTTCAGTCGGGTTCCTCTCTCTGACGGTCGATGTTTCCAAACTGAGCGTTGGTGTGACGTCCGTATCGCCTGTTTGTATCAGGTGATTCTTCCGTGTCCCTCTGCCTGTTTTTATAAATGTACCGTGTCTGTTTCTCCTGTTGAAAGAATGAATAAAACTTTTTTCTTTCTCTAAAATTTTGTTTGAAACCTTTTTTTAAAAAAAAATCAGTTTAACTCCGGTCATTTCTAAGCTGATTAAAGCTTTAATTAAATAACAGCCCGGTTACCATTGAATATTTTAACTACAAAAAGACGTCTTAATCACAAGCGAACAGTTTGACCGATAGTTTCTATTTCCACTGAGACTAAGCAGAAAAAAATAAACTCTGTGTATGTATGTGTTTATATGTGTATTTTCAAAAAAGTATAATTCGCAGTGAAACTGAGACTGAAATTCATTTTTTATTTGGTGAAAATAAAATTAATAAAGTGCTTACATGTAAATGATACAGTCACTAATATAATTCAGTTCTACTGCTACAACATAATAAAATATCTATATATAAGGACTAACTTCAGAAGCATAAGAAAAAAACAACAAAGCAGCTTTTATTGAGGAAAAAACAGTAAATTATTTCAGATTATCAGATTTATTAAAGCGTAACACGAGAGACGGTGTTCGGCTTTGGATCGGGTTTTCCTCCTCCTTCTCCTCCCTCTACGGTGTCCCTCAGGGCTCCGGTCCGGGTCCTCCCTTATTTTCTCTAAATTTGCTTCTTTCAGGTAAAATCTTGTTTTTTATTTCCTGAATATTCACTCCCTTTAACAGTTATTTTCCCTGTGATTTATTTCCTATGAGTCAGATCTAAACTCTTTAATAGTGACTGTTTTTAGGAAGGACCTGGAAAATAACTTCTTATTCAGGAGGTCTGTTCAGTCTTTGGTTCAGGACTCTGTGCAGCCCTGTGGTAAACCTTTTTGTTTTTTAAAGGGTTTATATAAATAAAGTGGATTTTATTGGACAAACACTGAAGGTTCAGCTGTGGAAACAACGACTCTTTGATGGATCTTATTTTGAAACTTTCAGATTTGACCGTTGTGACTAGAAACGGGACTGAACCGTTGGACCACCATAACTCCAATAACACAGAAGAAGTCCACCATCCAGCTCCTGATTTAAAGAAGAAGTTTCTACACAGAAGGAATCAGCTCAGACTGAAGATGTGGAAACAGATCGGTGAGTTTTTTTCAGTCACTTTTGCACTTTCATGTTTCATCTCTGGATGAAAATGGCCGCCAGTGTGATCCCAGCTGCTCCCAGTACAGCCAGTCCAAACAGAGTCCTCAGGGACCAGAGACTCACTGGAGGTGTGGGCACACCGTAAAGCTCCACAAAGGCATCCTGGGAAATAGAGAGAAGAGAGAGAGGTCAAGTCCTGGTGGACGACTTTAGTAATACGTTTCCATGACACTCGAGAAAACCGAATTATCGTCTTACTCCGATTAAGACCGGACAACTGAAGGTCATGTAAACACTTTAGTCCGACTATAATCAGAGTTTCAGAACTCTGATTAAGACACCTAGATAATGAGATTGGAATTCGATTGTCTCTACCATGTAACCAGCGTAGTCAGAGTATGATCGGACAACACGTGCGCGTGCGCCACGCCCCCGTAACCACAGAACAAAAACACCAGAGAAGAAGTGTCGCTATTATTTAACGAACTTTCAACTCAGAGGCAACGGCAACATGGCTGAAGCACAAAAGTATATGGACGGTCGCAAAACGAGGAATGGAGACATCTTTAGAAAAGTGCAGAAACAGCACCGCTGAAAAGACCCATATCGCCCCCTAGTGTTGGGGAGGAGGACACGTTCACGTCAATAATTCGATTTTCTCAGCTGCATGTAAACGAGGACAAGGAGAGAAGTCTGATTCAGAGAAAACAAACAAATAATGAGGTTAGTCCGATGTGACTGTAAACGAACTGAGAGTTTGTTGCCTCTTATCGAGTCACACTGTAATTTGTAGGACCACGTAATCGCCACAAGATGGCAGCAGCTACCTGAACATTTCTGTAAAGGAAGTCAGCGCCTGTGCATTCAAATCTTTCACAATAAAAGTTTTCACAGAACTAAGAAGAGTTTGAACTTTATCAGCAGAGACGAGGTTATGTTGATAACTCTGACTGATGAAGACCAGGATGAAGTTCAGTCTGAAGACGTGTCTCTGAGGGACGTGGATCACCATGGAGACCCAGCGAAATATGAACCAGACTGAACAGGAAGTGTGTGTGTGTGTGTGTGTGTGTGTGTGTGTGTGTTGGAGTGGAACAGGAATATGATTATTAGGGGAGAACCCCGCTGTCACACACGTGTCTGAGCTGCTCTCATGTTTTTGAGTTTTCAGCTCAGATCTTTTGAAGCATTTTGTCCTTTTCAGCCACCGTAGAGAGGAAGACTCGGAGAGAGAGAGAGAGGAAGATCTTCACACACACACACACACACACACACACACACACACACACACACACGTTGTTGTTTCATCTTCATGATGTGTGAAGCTGGTGTGATGTTTGAACATCAGCCCGAGTGAAATTTCTCTGAAACCATGAGTCACACACCGAGAGAGAGAGAGAGAGGGGGAGAGAGTGTGTTTATGGACAGTCTGCAGTATGACAAATATACACACACACACACACACACATACGCACACACACACACACACAGAGCGGCCCGTCTCAATCTGAACATCTTAGTGGAAAATTTTGACACTAAATTCTGAGAAAGCAGTTTGACTCACCACTGCCTGTGTTCTTAGAGCTAACTACACACACACACACACACACACACACACACACACACACACACATGTTTGTGTACTCGCATACACATACACAACACACACACACCTTCAGCTACAGTGTCGGAGTGTGAAGCCAAGTGCTCCAACAATCCAGTGCCAACCTCTCTCCTAAAACTAACTGACAACATGAAAACTGTGTGTGTGTGTGTGTGTGTGTGTGTGTCTGTGTGTGTGTGTGTGTGTGTCTGTGTGTGTGTTATCTAAGATCATCTTTTTCGGCTCCTTCAGATGTTATTTTTTGCACCGAGTTTCTACAGAACCGTTTTGTCAGCTGATCTGAAGTCTGTGGCGGAAACTCAACCACACTGGTTACCTGGAAAGATGATTCTAGGTAATACCACACACACACACACACACACACACACACACACACACACACACACACACACATGTGGACTTCCTTTTCCGTTGTAGCTGGAATGGTGGAAAAATGACTCTACTGTCATCGGGGCGTTCAGAGTTTAAAGTTTTACTTAATGTTACAAACATGTTAACACGAGCAGGACGGTCCTCATAAGAGTGGATATCTGTCAATGTTTGGTCCTTCCAAGATTAGAGAGTCTATCACACACACACACACACACACACACACACAATTATAAGTGAGTGGAGTTCCCCAAGGCTCCATCCTGGGTCCTCTCATGTTTGACATAAACCTGCTTCCACTGCCTCAGATTATAGATTACAGTTACCATGACAACAGAAATGACACATGGCAGCTGTTCCACAGTCCATTTCTCCATACACCTGTATTTATTGTTGTTTGTCTATACCTCTGAGTCAGACGCTCATTAACTCTACATACTTCTGTATTGGAGTGCTGAACTGTGCCGCAGATAAACTCACCTTACCTGTGAGAGTGGGTGTGGATTTTATCTTCATGTTTAATGAAATGAAACCAAGCATTAAAGGGAGTAGACTGTTAAACTGAGACTTTAAATCAGATCTTCTATGAGAGGAAATAGAAAGTTATCGAAGTGTTTGGACTCTGTAAAATTACCACAGAAGAAGAAAGTCCTCACAGGAAAGGTTCTCCTTCAGTGACTGGTCCTCACAAGTACACAAAGACGACCACAAACACACACACACACACACACTCATCATTATCAGGTTTAGATTAAACTGAAGGAAACCACAGAGACAGGAGAGGAGGACACGAATAGAAAGTGAAAGTTTCCGTCTGCTGTGTTCAGGGGTCTCTCTCTCTCTCTCTCTCTCTCTCTCACACACACACACACACACCTGTCCCAGCTCTGATCGACTCAAACCTAACCCTAAATTCTCCTCTGTTGGATTTTAACCCTTTAGGAATCGTCATGTTTTCATGAGGCCTGGCTGCTCTCAGCCAATCAGAGCACAGACATGGATTCACCTGAGAGTGTCACACTCTCACTCTGTTTACCTGGGCGTTTATACGGGTTATTGGACCCAACAGTTCTGGGGACTTTTTTAAGAGGAACTATACTCTAGGGGGTTCCCTGAGGTCTACGCCCTATGGGGACTTTTCCGATCTGCATTCGTATCACCATGGTGACAGCACACACACACACACACACACACAATATAAAACATGATCAATATCCTTTTCAATAGTCGTCATTCTGCCATGTTTTGGTCGACTATACGAACAGCCAATGAAAAGGGGAGTTTCTCCGGGTCTGAACCAATCATGTTCTGAATTAGAACCAAGTATCAATCAACTGCAGCGTCGTAGCAGACAGCAGCTCCACCCAACCATAGCACTTTAACAGGTGAAGCCGACAGCACTGTTGTTGAGAAACAAAGAAAATGAGTGCTACCCCCGACAGAAATGACCATGAAGGCTCAACAGATGACCACATCAATGTCAACGACAACACTGGCGTTAGGAAAACGTCGGTGGTGTGGAGGTATTTTGGTTTTTGGAGGTCGGACATGAAGCAGAGTAATGTGGACTGTAAATTATGTCGAGTACATGTTCTCACAAAGTCGGGGACTATCGTGATATATTCCGATATCGACTACTATGAGAAAAATATCGTGATAAACTTTTTCCGATATCGCCCAGCCCTTTCTGAACTCCTTTAAGGTCGTACTCAGGGTTAAATTATCAAACTGTTAAACTGTCTGACAGACACGAAACTCACACAGTAATACACACACATAAATACACACACACTACAAAAACAGATCCTCTGCAGTCTCTCACTCTGTTTTTCACTTGCTGTCTTTTATGCACACACACACTCACACACACACACACTCACACACACTCACACACACACACACACACACACACACACACTCGGTTTCAGAGTTTTGGGGGGTTTCTGCACTTTGCATATAATTTGCATTTAAACCAAATCAGCTTTTTTCTGAGTCTGCAGTCACAGCTGTTCACCAAACCACACCAAACCACACACACACACACACACACACACACACACACACACACACACACACACACACACACACAGACTCTGAATCCTGTCATGATAAATGACTCAAGAATCCCCAAATCGAAGTGAAACCTCCTGAAAGTCTTCCACTGACCCCTGAGGAGAATTTCAAAATAAAAGCCCTGATGTGATAAAAACATCATTCAGATTCACTCTCATAGATTCACACAGCTTCTGCTGGATCTGTTTCTATGTCTGTTTTAACTAAAATACCCCCCCGTGAACCAAAGTCTTGTGATACTAACGTTGTTCAGATCTTTTAATATTCTGTACTTTTCCCCAGAGAGAATCCCGTCCCAGGGTCAGACTAATTCCTGGATGGAAGCTGAAGGGAATCAGACTAGTCTCTCTTCTCTGCATTCTTGGAAAAGCTCGATTCAGGTCTGCTCAGGTCGAAGCGGTTCAATAAAGACTCCCTTAAATCCAGCAAACAAATGTGTCCAACTGTTCCCCGGCCTTCAGAGACCCCCATCAGGAACTTAAACGAAGACACCCTGTGGTTCTTGGTATCCTAAAGAGACGGCGGGCTCTTCAGCGGCTGAGTCTTAAATATTAAACTGCAGCAACACAAACAAGCAGAGACCTGACGAAGCCGAACCCCTGACTGACTTCAACGATGAAGACCTCCTAGATTCACTCACACAGAGGGACAGCAGTCTGGACTCGCCTTCCTGCGCCCTCATGTGGTTCAGTTTGTTACTGCCTCTTCGTGAACTTTGACCCAAACACTCTAACTAAACTGTTACCGGAACCAAAAGAAGGGACCGCTCCACTTACCCATCCTCCGTTGTCTTCTATCCATCCCTGCAGTGAGTCCAGACCGTCCTTCATCCAGTCTGTGACGTCCTTTACCCGCCACGGTCCACCTGTCTTTACCACCTCAGTGCACATAGCTCCGCCCACTTCCATCATGGCCACGATACGTCCCCAGTTCACCCCATCCCTGAACAGCTCCTCCCTGACCGTTGTCAAGCCTCTGACATCAAACCTCAAGAGCACCGACAGGTGGGCCTCCAGGTCACCATGGTAACGCTGATCCATGTCCCTGCAGGCGCCCCGGAGGATGACTTGAAGCTGGGGCGGAGCCAAGGTCGGATCTGTGGGGAGACAGTTTAGGAGGAGAATGTCACGTCAACAGGAAGACATCATGTCCTGATGTAGGACAGCAGCTTCTCACCTGGAAACAGTCAAAGTGATGCCCCGCCCACATCAGCTGACAGCTCTAACTCCGCCTGCTTTCTCTTCCTGCTTCATCCTAACTCCACCTGTTTATGCTGAGTGTTAGCAGGTATCACTGATTCCTGCTCTGTCCTCCAACCCCTCCAAGTCTTTGCTGCTGCTCTCCCTGCCTCGGCCTTCTGCTCGTGGACGTGCAGCACGCTCTCAGAAAGAACCACATCACCAAACGCCATACATGAAAATCTCCGTTTTTGGACTCAGAGGATCTGGACTTTTCTGTACCGCCTGGTTTTGCTGCTGCTCTCCCTGCCTTCTTTACAAACATCATAATACTTTTAGTAGAAGTGGTCCAGACTGAAAAAATCACAAGAGCAGTGAGATTAAAAGTCATTTCAGCTCTAATCTCTAAAATGAAATTACTTTTCTTGAATGGTTACGATCAGCTACGATCGGAGGATACGACCTTTTAGGAGACGATCAGGATGAAGGTGGAAGTTGGGGGTCAGTCCTGAAGCAGGAAGTATTTCTGTACTTGTTCGTCATATTTACAGTAAACGTCATACTGCCATTTGTATGTATTTTTTAAAGTTACATTGGCTTTAATACACAAGGACAGGCGGTCCATCACATCAGCTGTTGCCATGACAACACTGTTCACCCACTCACCTGTAGGAGAGTTCACCTGGGCGGATCTCCACGGTAACCCTGAGCTCAGAGTTGATGTAGCTGCTGTGTGGTGGCGCCGTAGCGGCAGCACGGCTCTCCAGTCCAGCCCGTCCTGCTGCAGCCTGAGACGCAGGAAGTCCTCCACCATGTCCCGGCTGTCAAAGGCCGCAGACATCGCCCCCTACAGGCTGCAGGCTATCACTACCACCACAACTGTAGACTGCAGAGAAAGCTGTAGACACTCATTACTGATCCTTAGAGATGCTCCAATAGGAGCACAGCACCTGATGGCGTCACCAAAAACACTTTAAAAAGAAAAAATAATCCAGATTAAAATCCCAGAATCCTTCACTGCTGTGGAGAATAAAACAGTAAAATAATCCAGCTGAGTCAACACAAACTGTCTGAAAATATCCTTAAAAAATAATCCAGAGTTTACTTTTAATCCAAACTGGTCTGAGATTAAAATGAGATTAACAGAGACTCCTTCTCTTCAGTCCTCTTCTGCTGATTAATCGATCACTGAGTCGATCATCGGTGACTCCACAGCCCCGTTCAGCGTGTGTCAGAGGTCTGAGGGTGAGGCGGAGCGCGAGGAGGCTTACACACGCACACACACACGCACACGCACCAGAGTTACATCCGCCGCTGCTCACTGTGTCGATCAATAATCGATTAAAATATGTCCTCCTGTTCAGGAATAAGGCAGGCGCATCTCACTCCACGTGTAACTCTCACATTTCCACAGATGTACACAAACACGGAGCTGTGGCCACGCCCCCCTCGTAATGACCGTCGGGATTCCCCTCCATCCACCCGCGAGCACACGTCAGCCAATGAAACACGATGAAGATGAGGAGGAGGATGAAGAGTAGTGGAGGTGCTCCTCTCTGACAGGCCTTATTATTAGTAGTATAATTATTAAAATAGTGTTAAAGTAGTAGTATTTCATGTAATAGAAGTACTTGCAGTTGTTCTTGTATTGATTGTTCAGTACTTCTGTAGTTTATATCACAGGAGGGAGAGTCTGACAGCAGGTGTAGTAGTGAGTGAAAGGTGGAGTTTTACTTCTACTATAACTAACAGCAGCAGTAGAAGTCAAAGTAAGATCATAAATATCAACTCAACTCAACTTTATTTGTTAAGCACTTTAAAACAACCACAGCTGTACAAAGTGCTGTATATAACTAGACAAAACAACAAGATAAAAAACAATCAAAAAACAATTAAAACAATGGATAAAATAAAAGCAGAATTAAAAGTATTGTTTCAATGCTTTTAAAAACTAATTTAAAAACATAGAAACAAATAACTAAAAACAAACCATAAAACACTAAAACAGGAGCCGAGTCTCATGGAGGGTTAAAAGCCAATGAATAAAAATGGGTTTTAAGACGAGTTTTTTATAGTTCTTGAGTTCTGATTTTATAGTTCTTTTTAATGATGTTTTTAATCTGTATATCAGAAAAGAAGCAGTAAAGACGTTCATGTGTGTCTGCTGCCCCCTGCTGGATCTCCTGCACAGCTACAGTTCCACTCTAACATGACGGTTTGGACACAGATATTATAAATGTTCAAACATATTCTGCCTCAGAGTTTGGATTCAGTTCAGAGTCTCCTCGGTCCTGTTTTTGTCATGTCATGATGGTCCAAATGTCAGGACCTCATCAGTCCAGTTCCTCAGCAGCAGGACTTTTATTATCATTATTATTATTATTATTATTATTATTATTATTATTATTATTATTACTGTTATAATAATAATAATAATAATAATAATAATAATAATAATAATAATAATAATAATACATTTGTGTTTCTGCTGTTGCATGTGTTGACCACAGGGAGTCAGTGTTGAGCTGTATTTTTTTCATAGCAGAGGTATTTTCGGTGCAGCAGTCATCACGTGAACACGGCATTATAACACACACACACACTCACACGCACACTCCTCTCCGGTTACCGGGGCAGTGTCAGATGTGTTTCTATTTTCTCTCCATCCTTCCCTCCGACCCGGAACCACTGAGAGAGAGAGAGAGAGAGAGTGTGTGTGTCTCTCCATCCTCACACACAAACACGCACACACACAAACACACGCACACACACACTCCTAGCTCCGCCCCTCTCTCTGCACCGATCCGGTCACAACAGCCGACCACCGACCGCTCTGCGGGCCGGACCGAGCCGGACTGAGCCGGAGCAGAACCTCAACATGTCCCTGCAGCTGCCGCCGTGCGTGATAGACTGTGGGACCGGGTGAGGAACACGCACACACGCATGCACATACACACACGCACATGCACACACATGGATGCGCACACTGTAAAGAGTCTGACGTCATTAGTATGGAGATTTTTATTTATACTCGTGAATATCATGTTTGTGTGTGTGTGTGTGTGTGTGTGTGTGTGTGTGTGTGTGTGTGTGTGTGTGTGTGTGTGTGTTGTTTTGGTTGGTGTTAAAGGGACAGTTCACCCAAAACAAGTGTCTGCAGGACACACAGGTACAGAAATAATCAATAATAATCAGGTTAAAGTAACAGTGTGAATAATAACAGTGATTGATTTAATAAATGAGAGTTTATTTCAGAGTTTTATCGTCTTTTTAAGGCTCTAATCTTCGGACATTAATAACATTCAGGTGTTTGTTGTAGGAGTTATAACAGTTCTAATAAAGCTGAGGGCCTGTCTGTTTATCATGTCTTTATTATAGGAGGTAAATTTGGACTCTGGATGCAGTGGACGTGTTCTTAAAGGGATATTCCAGCGTAAATATAATTTAGGGTCAAAGACAGCCCCTCCAGAGATGAATGTTGCCGACCGCTTCAGCCCCAAAATGTGTAGTTCCCTGAGTGTCGATGTTAAAGCGTCTGACTTTACAGCAAGAATACGACATAAACCACTAAAACAAAACAGAAGTGCTAATAAATAAAACATAGTGAGAGCTTTCACTGTTACTCTTTACTGTTACTGCGCTGCCATCTTGGATTATGACGTCGTTAAATCGGGGTTGGTGAGGATCGTCCGACTTTCTGAGTCGGAAATTCGACTTAAGGGGGGCGTTCCAAATCCAGTCGGAGCTCGAAAAACCCGTCTTCTGCGTACATCTGGAACGTATCATAAGTTTTAGTAAATTGTATTACGTCTTTATGATGGGCGGAGCTTAACTTTAGTAAATCATGTGACATCTTTATGATGGGCGGAGCTTAGCTGGAAGCTGAAAAAAAAGCCTTTCGAGTGGTTAATCAGCGAGTGTTTGTCGTTGTTTTCAACAGCAGCTGGAGATAAAACAGGTCTGTCTAAATGTGTGATGTCACTTCCTGTCTGGGACTTCTTCAGTTTTTATGTGTAAAAAAACTTCATTCAGAGTTTTATCGTCAGTTTATCCTCATTAAAGTGATTCTTTAATGTTCATGTTCTCCTGTTTTATGATACAGACACCAGAGTTTCAAAGATCTAAATATAAAAACACTCGTCCTCGTGTCTCCTGCGGCTCTTTGACTCGTCACTTATCTCCACGTATCAAAATGTCCAGCTGTCATCGGTGTGCGCCGAGTCTGACCGACTCTGTGATCAGTCCGCCGCTGCTGCTGCGTCTATTCTGGTCCGAGTGTCTGAATGTAGGACAGCTGCAGGAAGGGGAGCAGGAGCTGGAGTCACACTTGGGGAGGGAGGGTCAGCTCTCAGCTCAGAGAGGACAGGGTCCAGAGAGGACGGGGTCCAGAGAGGACAGGGTGGACAATGAGACGCTCAGGAAGTCCCTGAGACACGCAGACTCGCTGTTGTCCTCCATTGTTCTTCTACTGCCTTTGTGCAGCTTCAGATTTAGGATTCAGGCCCAGGGACCATATTTGGACAAGGGGGCGGGGCTAGAGAGGAGTCACAGACCAGAAAATGACAAGTTATCAAAGTCAGTGTCTGTGTTCGGTTCTTTTATGGAGAAAAGAAACAGAAATGAAAGGATACGAGAGTCTGACTGAGAGAGTTGAATTCTAGAGAGACGTCAGTTTTCGAGCTCCTCTCATCGGCTGCAGACTCTTCACTCCTCTGAGGCCTTTTTTGGGCCTAGAGCCACGTTTTGAGAACCTCTTCACAGTCCTGATGAACACTGAGAAACATCGGAGCGGTCCTTTTCCTAACAGAGTGTTTCCTGTGTGTGTTTGTGTGTTTGTGTGTTTCTGCAGGTACACAAAGATCGGATATGCAGGAAACACAGAGCCTCAGTTCATCATGCCCTCCTGTAAGAACCGCAAACAGAGCCGCTCAGGGTTCGACTGTCTGCTCTTATCTTAACCATCTGTGTGTGTGTGTGTGTGTGTGTGTGTGTGTGTGTGTGTGTGTGTGTGTGTGTGTGTGTTCAGGCATCGCCATCAAGGAGTCGGCCAGCGTGGGAGAACAGGCGCAGAGGAGACTCGTACGAGGAGTCGACGACCTCGACTTCTACATCGGAGACGACGCCGTGGACAAACCCAACTATGCAACAAAGGTAGGAGGAGACAAGGAGAGGAGGAAGGAAAGGAGAGGAGAGGAGGAGGTGAGGGGAGGGAAGGAGAGGGGGTGGGGAGAGGAAAGGATATGATTAGGTGAGGGAAGGAAAGGAAAGGAGAGGGGGGAAGAGGTGAGTAAGGGAAGAAAAGGGGAGAAGGATGTGAGAAAGGAGGGAAGGAGAGGATGAGACGAAGCTGTGGACAAACCCAACTATGCAACAAAGGTAGAAGGAGACAAGGAGAGGAGGAGGTGAGGGACGGAGCGAAGGAGAGGAGGAGCTTAGGGGAGGGGAGGCAAAGGGTGGAGAGGAGGAGGTAAAGGAGGGAAGGAAAGGAGACAAGGGAGGTGAAGGAGGGGAGGCGAAGGGAGAAGACGAAGCTGTGGACAAACCAAACTATGCAACAAAGGTAGGAGGAGACAAGGAGAGGAGGAGGTAAGGGTAAGATAGGAGAGGAGGGGACGAGGAGGAGAAAGTGAGGGAAGGAAAGGAGAGGAGGAGGTGAGGAAGGTAAGGAGAGAAGGGGATAAGGAGAAAAGTGAGGTAAAGAAAATCAGAAATAAGGAGAGAAAGGAAAAAAACATGAAGAGGAAAAACAGAATTAAAATGTGTGTGTGTGTGTGTGTGTGTGTGTGTGTTTGTGTGTGTGTGTGTGTGTGTGTGTGTGTGTGTGTGTGTGTGTGTGTGTGTCTCTCATCAGTGGCCGATCCGTCATGGGATGGTGGAGGACTGGGACCTGATGGAGAAGTTCATGGAGCAGATCATCTTTAAATACCTGCGAGCAGAACCAGAGGACCACAGCTTCCTGATGGTGAGTGAAGCCCCGCCTCCTCTCTGTCCTCTGACTCCGCCCACCACCAGGTGTGTATTTAACATGTGTGTGTTTTTGTGTGTGTGTGCAGACGGAGCCTCCTCTCAACACTCCAGAGAACAGAGAGTACCTCGCTGAGATCATGTTCGAGACCTTCAACATACCTGGACTTTACATCGCAGTACAGGTGAGACGGACAGGTGAGACAGACAGGTGAGACAGGGGAGACGGACAGGTGAGACAGGGGAGACAGACAGGTGAGACGGACAGGGGAGACAGGTGAGACAGGGGAGACGGACAGGTGAGACAGGTGAGACAGGGGAGACGGACAGGGGAGACAGGGGAGACAGGTGAGACAGGTGAGACGGACAGGGGAGACAGACAGGTGAGACAGGGGAGACGGACAGGTGAGACAGGTGAGACAGGGGAGACGGACAGGTGAGACAGACAGGGGAGACAGGTGAGACAGGTGAGACAGGGGAGACAGACAGGGGAGACAGGGGAGACAGGGGAGACGGACAGGTGAGACAGGTGAGATGGACAGGGGAGACAGGGGAGACGGACAGGTGAGACAGGTGAGATGGACAGGTGAGACAGGGGAGACGGACAGGTGAGACAGGGGAGACAGGGGAGACAGGTGAGACAGGTGAGACGGACAGGGGAGACAGACAGGTGAGACAGGGGAGACAGGTGAGACAGGGGAGACGGACAGGTGAGACAGGTGAGACAGGGGAGACGGACAGGTGAGACAGACAGGGGAGACAGGGGAGACAGGTGAGACAGGTGAGACAGGGGAGACAGACAGGGGAGACAGGGGAGATAGGGGAGATAGACAGGGGAGACGGACAGGTGAGACAGGTGAGACAGGGGAGACGGACAGGTGAGACGAAAAGACACAGAGACAGACAGACAGGTAGACAAACAGGTGTACCGTGTGATGTCATGACCTCTGACCTGTCTCTCTCTCTCTCTTCTAGGCTGTGTTGGCGTTGGCGGCGTCCTGGACGTCTCGACAGGTGGGACAGAGAACTCTGACTGGGATTGTCATCGACAGCGGGGACGGAGTAACGCACGCCATCCCAGTGGTGAGACGCACACACACACTCACACACACACACACACACACACACACACACACACACACACACACACACACACAAACACGTCATCATACCTGCTGTTGTTTGGAGGCTCCCTGCTCTCTGATTGGTCGGTGTGTCTGTCCGTCTCAGGCTGAGGGTTATGTGATTGGCAGCTGTATAAAGCACATCCCCATAGCGGGGCGGGACATCACCTTCTTCATCCAACAGCTGCTCAGAGACAGAGAGGCGGGGATTCCTCCGGAACAATCTCTGGAGACGGCCAAGGCGGTCAAGGTAACACACCTCCTCTACTCCTCCTCTACTCCTCTTTTACTCCTCTACTCCTCATCCTTTCATCCTCTACTCCTCCTATCTACTCACTCCTCTTCTTTGACTCTTTCTTGATTCTTTCTTGAATTCCCCTGACTCCTCCTCCTCTCCTCCTCCTCCTCCTCTCCTCCTCCTCCTCTCCTCCTCCTCCTCCTCCTCCTCCTCCTCCTCCTCCTCCCCGTGTTCAGGAGCGTTACTGTTACATCTGTCCGGACATCGTGAAGGAGTTCACGAAGTACGACTGTGACCCCGGGAAGTGGATCAAACAGTACCGCGGGGTCAACGCCGTCAGTAAGACCGCCTTCCACATCGACGTCGGCTACGAGCGCTTCCTGGGCCCGGAGATCTTCTTCCACCCAGAGGTCAGAGGTCACTCTCAGATCCATGAGTGTTGCTGCATTCGAGTTACCTCGGGAGTCAGATGTCGGAAAATGACGTCACACCTGAGTTACCAGTGTTTCAGTTACCAAGTGTCTTATATTCGGACAAGTCAAGCGCTAAAATAACTTTTGTACAGTAGCCATCTTATTTCCACCTCCGATTTCGCTTTTTTCCGACTTATGCTGGTAACGTGGTTGTGACGTCACTTTCCGACATCTGACTTCCGAGGTAACTCGAACGCCACATATGACCTGATTAATGTGAGCGCATGAAGTTAGCGTGAACCTAAACGAGGTTTTCTTTCCAGTTTGCTAATCCCGACTTCATGCAGCCGATCTCTGATGTCGTTGATGAGGTCATCCAGAGCTGTCCAATCGATGTGAGGCGGCCGCTCTACAAGGTAACTTACCTGAGAACACCTTACCCCCAATTTTCAACGCATCCTGAACGGCTCCGATCTGGATGGCGGCGGCAATTTTGTTTTCGAGTTGTCTCTATAAAGACAGCCACATAGACATATAAGCAGTAGATTGTGTCCTTCCAGAGGAGGAAATCTACTTCTAGACTTCTAGAATCAGCATCTCCTCATCCATGGTGTCATCGGGGTGAAATGACGTCTAAAAACCTTTCCTGTGACTCATCAAAACCAAATATCCCGTTTTCCGTGTTAAAGTCGAACATTTGTCCGTGTTTGTTTGTCAGAACATCGTGCTCTCAGGAGGATCCACCATGTTCAGAGACTTCGGTCGGCGGCTGCAGAGAGACCTGAAGAGGGTCGTCGACGCGCGTCTGAAGCTGAGCGAGGAACTCAGTGGAGGACGGATAAAGGTGTGACAGGAAGTTCTCGTGGTATTTGGAGTTACACGCCTGGACTAACACTCGGCTGTGTTTGTGTTTGCAGCCAAAGCCGATGGAGGTCCAGGTGGTCACTCATCACATGCAGCGTTACGCGGTCTGGTTTGGAGGCTCCATGCTGGCGTCCACGGTAACCACACACACACACACACACACTCTCTCTCTCTCTCTCTCTCTCGTCCTAAAACCTGAACCTTGTCTGTGCAGCCCGAGTTCCTCCAGGTGTGTCACTCTAAGAAGGACTACGATGAGATCGGCCCGAGCATCTGTCGACACAACCCCGTGTTCGGCATCATGTCCTGATGGCGGCAGCGACAGACGGCTGGTTAGCCTGTTAGCGTGCTATGTCGTTAGCCCTTTGGCCCTTTAGCCTGCTGTCCACTAGATAGCCAGCCAGCTAGCCCGTTAGCCCGTGGACTCTGCAGCTTGCTGGCCGGTTTACCCGCTTCCTGCTAACCACCAGCCCGCCGATCTTTCCCTGTTTAGTTCTTAGCCTGTCAGGTCAGGCTAACAGACTGTTAGCGGGTTAGCTCAGCGTCGTTTAGCACAAAGGGGTCTGGAGAAGGTGAAGCACAAAATTCAGTTTATAAGCAGTAAAATTAAAGTTCGGCGTTCTTAATTTTCCACCAACCAGAGCAACTTTTTCCTCAAGCAACATCGTCAGTACCCGAAGTTTTCTCCAGACCTGTAACCGGGACTAGCTAGCTGACAGTCTGCTAGCTGCTAGCATGTTAGCCATCCTCATCAGTGTTCGGCATGTTTGTGTTGGATTTAAACTGTTCGCCAAGGAGAGCGCCGAGATACTTCAGGAAAATTCAGAGGGGCTTTTTCACTTCGTGAGGGTTTTAGTGTCGCTGACGTTTGTCCAGAACTAACAACGATAAATTCACTTTCAAATCAGAGCCGCCATCTTTGTTTTAAGGTGTTTGTTTATGAAAAAATCAATAACTGGATCAGAATTAGGTTAATGTAAAACTCTGACTGAGTGTCGGTCTCTGTCTTCAATCTGAAACTTTAATTTTTAATTGCTTTAACTTTAACCCGTCATCGGGCAGAGTTTGTTGAATTAAAGGGAAAATACGTAATTTATTATGTTTGAAAACTGCAGATTTTGTTTCTGTCTGTATTTTTTTTGTGACTGATTTTGTTCAAACTGAAAACAGAGGAGGATCAGGGTCACCGGAACTAAAGACTTAAAGTTCATTATTATTGTGACTTTTTTTGATCACAACTTCAATCTCGGAATACTGAATTTTCAGAATTCTGACATCAAAGTCTGACTTCTTTCTTTAATCACTGAATTCTGATTTTTTTTTTATTTAAAGAATTTTGAAAAAAAAAAATCAGAATTCAGTGATTAAAGAAAGAAGGAACGAAACGGGCGAGCAGGAGCGTCTGTTTGTGGGCGGGGCTTGCTGGAGCAGATCCTGACTACACCACCTTTAATTTGCAGAATCATGACTCTTAAAATTCTGAGAAAAAACTTAAAGTCAAAATAATAATAATGAATGTCCCTTATCCTTCTCTGTAGAATCACAGTATCTACATAAAGAGACATGTAACCGCTGAAATGTACACATAAGAACACTTTAATCTGTTTGTTTGAAATGGTTGAATCAGCTGATGTTCACCTGAATCCCAAACTGTGAATCTGTGTGTTTGACAGCCTGTATCATAAACTTACTGCACTCAGAGCGTCTATATTTGTACAGAGTTTAACAGAAGAGAAATATCAGAGCACATATATTAGTAACATGAATATAGACACACACACACATATATATATATAAATATAAATATATAGATATTCTGTATTTACTGTTTGCTGAGGCATGAAACTGATCAGAGGACAGTGATTAACATGACCACAGGAAAAAAAGGGAAAAGAGGAAAAAGTCACTTTGATGAACTTCAGGAATGCAGTAATAAAGACAAATGCAGTAATGAGAGAAGAGACTGATCGATGATCAATAAACACTTTATATCTGTCTGAAGGATGAACCTGAACACAAACACGTCCTGTTTTTTGTTGTTTCCATCTGATGTTCCTGTCCTCAGCGCCGCGCCTCACCTGATCAGCTGACCGTTCAGGGGTCAAAGGTCGACTCTGTGGTTGTTTTAGTTTAAGAACGTCTGCGGAGGATATAAAGTTCTGTTCTCACGCAGAGGTTCGATGAATGTTATTGATCTGTGAGTTGATGCTGAGCTGCTGTCAATAAAAACACCTTTAACATTCAGCGCTGGACTCTGATTGGCTCGTCACGTCACTTTAATCGCTCATAAATAAAAATCATTTCCTGTCAGAGATGAGCTGAAGACTTAAACTCAACCTGTTTATTTTTACTCAACAATATTTTTCTTATCAATCTGATTTTTAAAGGGATTTTTTCATTATTCACCACTAAGACCAAATTATTAAAGTGTGACTATGTCTCCCCCTGGTGGCCATTGGAGAGAAAACAGGTCAAAAAGATACATGTGAAGAGAGGTGAAACATGATTTAAATCTAATGTTTGATCCACAAAAAAAAAAAAAAGTGATTTTAAGATTGTTGATTCGTGATGGTTGGAAAAATCTAAAAAAAGTATAAAATGCTGATAATAGATTTAGAAGCAACATCTGCGTCCGTCCAGACAAAGAGTTTTTCAGAGAAGACCTTCAGATGATCAGAACCAGATTCTGACAACAGTGTGTCTCTGTAGTAGGAGAGTCCTGCTGCAGAGAAACAAACTGACAAACAAACTTTAAACACAGTTCAAGTTTATTTAAATGCGAAGGCAAATATTACACATGAACATTTCTATCAATAATGTGGTCGATGCTTTTTTCATTCAGTCCTGATCAGTTTTAAAATAAAAAAAAGGTTAAAATATCCCAATAAAACAAAGGAATGAAATTAAACATCTGCAAGCTCATAAAGCCTTAAAGTAATTTATGTATTTTAAAATCTTTTGTTTGATTCTACGACGCAGTATTAGGGCCACATGAAGAAAACAAATTAAGACTTTGAGATTAACGTCATTAATTTACGAGAAGTTGAAATAAAATCAATGAGACATTTTCACCAAATGCTCCATGGCTCTCATTTCAACAACTGTCATTTTAAACAACAGGTTAGAATATGAGGATTTTATATTTATGACTTTACTCTCGTAAATGATTACTTTACTACGACTTTATTAATGAAAACTCGAGGTCTTATTTTTTTTCTTAATGTGGTCCTATTACCCAACAGAATTCATAAAAATGATAAAAATGATAAAACCTCAGCAGCAGCAGTATTAGTGAAGACGGTGTCGTTCCTCCTCCTGTCCGCTGGGGGCAGCAGAGCTCCAGCAGCTCCACTCTGTTATGGTGTGAACCCCCCAGGACTCTCGGAGCTGCTGGATCCTCGCTAACGGGACAAACTTGAGACTTTGGAGGTTCACGGACTCGTTTTGATAATTTTTAAACCTTTAACATGCCGTCCGTTAAAACCGAAGATCTCTGAATTTATTTCCGTGAGAGAAAAACCGGAAAAATCCGCTTCAAAGATGCTCGCGGTGAGTCTGAGTTCTCTGATGTTCTGGTTCTGATCTAAACCCAACAAATGTCCATTTCTGGGTCTGTTAATGTGACACAAACTGGTCAGAAACTGTTAAAGCTAAAGTTTGTATGTTTGGTTAAGACCTGAACTCTAAATCTAAACTCTTCCTGACCAGAGAACTTAACTGACAGGGGCGGATACAGGGTTTTCAGGGACCGAGGGCCCTAGAGGGGACTCTGGCTCAAACTGGGGGGCCCTGAAAGATCCGGGCACAAACTTACACTACAGGCTGAACAGTTGGGAGTAACTTAAAGTTTTTGTTCACAATACCTTTTAAAGAGTCCAGCATGAGTTTGATGTATTTTAGGATGTATTTACTCCATGATCAGATGTTGCTTTCATGGAAATTCACCATTTTACTCCATTTACCTTTAGATTTACATTGTAGTGTAAATATTAAAGTAAATTAATTGATGGTTTAATGATCGATCTGTTGAGATGGTTGGAGTTCAGACTTGATTAAGGACTCGTGGACTCTGTGTAGTCCTCTCTGCAGGTGGTCCAGGTGTTCCAGGAGAGGGAGGAGTGGATGGGGTTGGAGGAGGAGGTGGTGATGGTGGAGAGGAGGGAGGTGGGCTGTCAGAGCGACTCAGTGGAGATCAGGGACGCCGGCGTCCAGGTGGACCTGCTGACTCAGCAGCTGCTCGGCATGACGTGGCGATGCGTCGCCGTCAGACCGGGCGAACCAGGAGGGGGCGCTCTGCTGCAGCACTGCAGCACATGTGGGACGCGCGCACAGACCCTCCCCAACATCCTGCTACCTCTGTGGGGACCAGCTGACACCACAGACCACCAACAGGCCGCCACATTACCCAGCATGCCTCTTTGTGAGCCGTTGGCATTACTGCCTCCAGCAGACGCAACAGCTGCGCCCCCTCCTGGGCTTATCGCTCCTCTGAGCCCCCGCCTGGCTGAGGAGGAGGAGGAGGAGGAGGAGGATGAAGCCTCCTCAAAAGCGGAGATCAGTGAGTATCAGAGATTCAGCAAACTGCAGATTTCACATCTGTTGGCCCACTGCATTCTGGGTAAACGCAACTTTTTGTGTGACGTGACTTCTGCAAAGATTTGAGATGTTTCCCCGCCCCTTCGTCTTCTTCAGGTGGTCACACGCCGTCCAAAGTAACAGAAGAGAAGAGGAGGAGGGGGGAGAGGAGGTGCCAGCAGAGCGAGGGCGGAGCTGAACAAGGTCAGTCCAAACCCAGCAGCCCCGCCCACCGTCAGAGGAGGAGGAGAAAGAGGAATTGGGAAAAGATGAACCAATCAGAATCCAGGAGAAGAATAAAGGTCAAGACTCAGCGACCTCGGCGGAGGAGAAACATCCAAACAGGTTGTTTCTCCTCGGCCAGGGGAGGAGACACCACGGAGGCTGAGGGAGCGGAGGAGAAAGCCGTGTTGGAGGAGGAGAAGATGGATGACAGGAGGAGGAGTCAGAGGTTAGAGAAAAAAGAGGTGATGGAGAAAAGGAGGAGGAGGAGGAGGAAGGAGGAGACGGAGGGAGGGACACCTGTGAAAATGAAATCAGAGTTCACCGAGAGGCCGAGGAGGAAGGCGGTTGGTCCGCCAATCAGGTACCTGCTGGAGTACGAAGGGTGGTCACAAGGAGTCAGCAAAGGTCGAGGCGCAGAGGAGGCGGAGGAGGAGGAGCCAAGAGAGAGGAGCAACAGGAGGCGAAAGAGGGGCGGAGGAAACCTGCTCCATCAGGTAAGAGCGCAGAAACATCGAGGTGAGAGAGTTTGACTGAATAACACACCTGTCCGTCTGTCCGTCTGCAGCTCCACCTGTCCAATCACAGAGCAGGAGGTCGGCGGAGAGGAGCCACGGTCCGCCATTGGACGAGACGGAAAAGGCGTGTGCAGAAGAACGCTCGAAGGTGGGTCATCCTCTCAACCATGAAGAGGAGCGGGAGGAGGCGGAGCTTGGAGAACAACAAACTGACCATGAGACTCAAGGGGAGGAGCAGAAAAGAGGAGGAGCATGAGAAGGAGAGAGGAGGAGGGGTTTTGTTACAGAGGCCGAGGAGGACGATGGTGGGTCCACCAATCAGATACCTCCTGGAGTCTGAGGTCCAATCACGAGGTCGAGACGCTGAAGGGGTTCCAAAACCACAGAGGAGGACGGAGGCTGGGGGCGGGGCTTCAGATGACTCTGAGAGTACAGCGCAGACAGGACCGACCAATCCAGACGGACCCAAACGGAAGAGAGGAAGACCAAAAATGGTCAGAGGGGGCGGGGCTTCAGGGATGACTGACGCAGAGAAGAAGAAGAAGACGGACTTACCTCAGAGGCTGAGGAGGACCATGGTGGGCCCACCAATCAGATACCTGCTGGAGTCAGAGCGCTGGTCACATGGTAACGTGGCGGTCAAAGCAGAGGGAAGTGATTGGGAATTAAAACCACAGAAGAAGAGTGACATTGGGGGTGGAGCTTTGGTGGACGCAGCGATGATTGACAGGTCTGAGGACACAGAGAGCAAAGGGACGCAGACAGGTAAGACAGAATCAACCAATGAGGATGGAGCTCATGGAAGACCAGAGAAGACTGCAGGAGGACAGACAGGTGAGGGTCAGAGGAGGAGGAGGAGGAGGAGCGGGGAGGAGGTGAGAGAGGGAGGAGGCGGGGAAAAGAGGAGGAGAAGAGAGGCAGGGAGGAAAGTGGACGAGGATAAAAAAGAGCCGCCGCCGCCTCAGAGGCCGAAGAGGACGATGGTTGGTCCACCAATCAGATACCTCCTGGAGTCAGAGGAGCTGTCACTCAGTCGAGAAGCAACCAATCAGGGATCTCGGTGCGTGAACAAACCGCAGAGGAAAAATGAAGGTGAGGGCGGGGCTTTGGATGACACAGTGATGATTGACAGGTCTGAAAACACAGACTATGAAAAAGGAAGACCAAAAAAGGTCAGAGGTGACAGTGAGGCTGGGGGCGGAGCTTCAGGGATGATTGACAGGTCGAAGGCTGCAGAGAGACAGACAGACTCGTACTTACAGACCGCCCTGACCTACTTCGACCCTCAGAACGGACAGGTGACCGTCCTCGCCCCCTGCTGTGTCAGACTGCAGCTTCTCCCCTGATTTGCTCTTTATAAACAGGTGAGACAGGATACAGGTGATGGGAGTTTGCTGCCTCCTAGTGGACACTTGAGTCATTGTGGTGAAACTGTAATTCTGACTTCAGATTCTTTCTCTCACATTGTTGATGAAAGGTTTCTCTTGTTTCACAGCAGCATTTACATTCAAAAAGGTCAAAAATCATTTAAATTTGAAAAAATTAACATTTAGATTAAAAAAATTCTCCAAATAAAATAAACGAAATGTTGAAAACAGGACATGAAGATGTGTCTGAGATTTCCAGAGCGTCACAGTTTCATCCTTGTTTTCCTCAGCGTCTTCCTAACCTTTAGTTTAGATTTGGATTGTATGATAACATTAATGTGAGACACATTTCATTGACTCCTCTGGTGTCTCTTTGTCCAGTTCATGGATTTCTGTTAAAGGACAGGAATGAAAACCTGTTTATAAATATTGTTTGTACCTCAGAGTCTTCCTGTTGGTTTCTTTCTCTACCTGCAAATATGTAATAATTAAAGACTGTGTCTGTTTTATAATATAAACTGTAAACAGCTGTCTGACTTACACTGACTTTTGTTCATGTTACTCATTCCATGAATGATTTCAGCACACTCGAAGATTTTATTATCAATAAATCAAGTTAAACCACACGACTGCTCATATTTATTTAACACTGAACAGATTTAATGAAACGACTTTAAAATAATTATTCCTTATTTTTGATTCATGTTTCTGCTTTTGTTTGAAGTTGTTTTATTCAAACTGAAGCAGCAGAAAATTATTTAAAACAACTTCAGAAATAGCTAAATGTACTCTCATTGCAATATTAACTAGAGTCAATGATGTTTACATAAAAAAAAAAAAAAAGAAATCTGTGCGCGTCCTCTACACACATTACGGTAAATCTCGTACTCTGTCAATTACGGTAAAACAGCAAACAGGAAGTGAGTTCACACAGGCGGCGGTATCCTCGCGGTTATAAAGATGTTAAAGTTTGTGTTAAAATGACAGAAAGCGGAGCTCAGGTGAGTAAATAAACTCTTAATCTCACATTTAAAGTTCTTCTTTTAGTGACTTTAATGAACTTTAACGGTCAGTGACTCTCAGTTTATATCGAGAATAAACTCCAGCTCAGAGAGGTCGAAAACATGTTTCCTCTCTGCTGTTGTATCTTCAACCTGTTTTTACTGTTTTATAAGAGATTCTGAGTCCATGCGGTTACTCCCACTCCAGAGTCAGACTTACTTTATCGATCCAAACTGGGAAATATTGGGAAACTCCAGAGTCCTGTCTGTTTTTAATGCCCTGAAGTTCAGAACTATCCAGTCCTGGTTTTGGTTCTTGTCCCCCTTTAGAACAGAGATTTCTCCAGATCCTCTGAGTTCCTCAACAGGAACTTAAATATAGTGTGAAAATATCTTGTAGCATAATCTTGACTAAAACAACCAGATTTAATGTAAGTCCACTCCTCATAACATTTTAATGTTACATTTTTAACTAAATTTTATATCATTAACTCTGTTTAAGTGTTTTAGCATTTATCTCTTTCTAGTTTTAATGACAGAATCGTCTTTTATTGAGCTCACTTGGTGCTCTTATTTTAGGTTTTTTTGCTGTTTTTGTTTCATTTTATTTATTATTTCTTAAATTTCATTCTTTGTTTCTTTGTTTTTAGATTTTAAACCTCCAGTGTTTCCTTAACTTGAGTTTTAAAATGACGTTTCCTCCTCAGTGCGCACATTCCTGTTAATATCAAATCAAACCCTTTTTAAGTTCATGCTTTTTAATTCTGTTTCTGTTGCAGTTAGATCCTGGGGTGGGAATGAGGGGTTGGACTGGGGTAGATTTAGGTTTTCTTTGTTTTTTTTAATTCTTTTTTCTGTGTAAAACACTTTGTCCTACATGTTGTGTATGAAAAGTGCTGTATAAATAAAGACTGATTGATTGATTGATTGATTGATTGATTGATTGATTGATTGATAACATGATCACACAGCACACTGCTTACTGCAGGGCTATTGAGGCCACACCCCCTACATGCACTGTTTTTCATTTCATTGACCATTTAAGGGGCGAGTTTATTATGGTGGTGGTCACTACCTCAGATGTGACTCCTGGAACCAAACAATAATTTATACATCAATTATCAAATGTTTTAAAGACCATTCCAGCTGTTTAGCCGACTACATTTCTGTTCATGCCATTGTATTGTTATTGTATTATTTTTCATGGATGTCTGCTTATGACAAAACAAAAATATTTACATTTATGTTTGGATATATTACAGTTTCTTTAAATTACCCCCAATTTCCAGGTAATTCCCATGAAAAGTTTCCAAGTTGGAATACTTCCTAAACTCCCCAGCTTGACTTCACATGGAAAGTTTCTGGGGATTTTCTGCCCCTCTGCAACCCCACTGTAGATGAACATTATCCTGAAACTGTTGAACTGTTAGCTCACGCGGTCTCTCACAGAGTCCTGAACCTCTTCCATCTTTCCGCCTCTCTGAATGTCCGTCTCAGACCCGGTCATGTGACTAACCTGTTGGACATTCACCTCATTAGTTGGAGATGTTCCTTCAGATGTTTGTTTAGCATTACAACTTTTCGTGTGAGACCGACTCTTCATGCTGGAACACATACAGAGTTCAGGTTGTTGTAGAGTCTATAGGGGAGAGTGGGGTAAGTTGTATGTGGGGGTGGTACAGTCCACATACTGGTTCTGTATATTGACCGTGTTTATCTGCAGCTGTTTGCTCGTCTGGAGGCTCGTCGGTGTCTGAAGGACATTGAACCTCGTCTGTTTCCTGAAGATGGAGGACCTAACCATGGTAACTGACCACGCCCACTTCTTGTCAACACACAGAACATTGAATCTGAGCATTACTGTGATTGGTCATATATGTTTGACTCTGGCAGGTGAGGTGGTGGAGCTGTACGGACCTGAGGGAACAGGTGAGGTGACTGTAAAGGAAGTGGGTCTGACCTCACCTGGTTGGAACTTCCTGTACACTGTGTGTGTGTGTGTTTCAGGTAAGACCGAGCTGCTGTACCACCTGCTGTGTCGCTGCGTTCTGCCCGTGGCGAGTGGCGGTCTGGAGGTAGATGTTGTGTTTGTGGATACTGACTACAGTTTGGACATGTTACGACTGGTCAGCATCCTGGACAACAGGCTGAGCGCAGGTACGGACACCCTCAGACACCACAGAAGAAGATGCAGCTACACGTGTTTGTTCTACCTGTTTAACATTTGACCATCTCGTCTCTCCTCTCGTCTCGGGTTCAGCTCGTTCCGCCGGCTCACCCTCGGCCGCTGCAGACGAGGCGGTGTTGCGTTCCTGTCTGTCTCGCCTTCTTGTCGTCCACTGCTCCTCCTCCTCCCAGCTCCTCCTGACCCTCCACTTCTTGGAAACCACCTTGACGTCACGGCCGGGCCTGGCGCTCCTCCTCATCGACAGCATCAATGCTTTTTATTGGCTGGACCGCAGTGAGGGCGGAGCCAGCTTTGCTAGGCAGGAGGAGAAACTCAGCAAGTGTGCAGAGCTCCTGGGCCGGCTGCTCAGGTACCGGGTTTTCAGATAGGAGGTTCTGTCTGGACTCTGGAAAGTTTGATGGTGATTGAAACTCGAAGAGAGAGTTTGTGATCATCTGTGTGGGAGGATTTTAAAGAGACTGTCCTCATGTTTGTCTCTGACGCGATGTTTTTATTTGCCGAGCGAGGGCTGTCAGCTCTGTACATCAAACAAAACATATCACAACATTATCGCAACTCTGAATCTCTTAATCCTAACCCTAAACCTAACCTTAACCCCAACCCTAACGCCGGCCAGTGCAAGCCCCTGATTAGTCTATCCCAAATTAGCCAGTCAGCTGATGAAGTGGGGGCTACAGATGATGACATTTCACAGCCATAAAGAACAACCAATCGGAGCCCAGCACTTCTAGCCAATCAGAGGCGAAGTAGGCGGGACCTTACCCTACCATCCTATGAATAAAAATATCACGTCCCTGACTTTCCTCCACTTTTTCTGACATTAACGGAGGAGTTTTGTTCACTGAGTTTGTTGAGCAGCTTTGACGCCCTGATAGCGTTCGAATGTTATTTGGGTGAAAATCAATCAGTTGTGTTCCTGCATGAGCAACTGTTCCAAAGTCCACCTCTCCCAAACGTGCCTGAACGAGGTCCAGAGAACTCACACTGGCCAAACAAACTGGACTTCAGGGGTTATTAAGGGTCAAAGGTGCCTGAGTACAGTCCAGTGGAGGGGTTCTGCTGATCTCCTGTAGACTTCCACACAGTTTGATAACAGAAGCTGATCCAGATGAACCTGATGGGGAAAAGGTCATGAACTCTGAGGAACCTTCAAACAGCTGAACCTGTCTCCTCTGTTTCTCCTCCTTTCCTCAGGGATTACAAAATCACTGTCTTCGCCACCTGCCACGCCATCAGGAGGAGCTACAGCGGATCCTCTTCTGCATCCTCCTCCTCCTCCACCTCCTCCTTCGCCTCCACCTCCACCACCGAGAGCGACAAGCCCTTCCTCTGTCGGCCCTGGCAGCGGCTGGTGACCCATCGGCTGTTGTGCTCCAAACAGGAGGCTCCAAAAAACATGGCCGCCACAGCAGGAGGCAGCAAGGAGCAGAAGACACGGCAGGTCTTTACGGTCAGCACTGCCTCCTCCTCCTCCTCCTCAAAGACAAAGACCTTCAGGAGCAGCTCTTACTACGTGACGGATGGAGGAGTGGAGTTTATCGGACCTAACACTAAAGTCAGTTAATTTATTTGTTCAGAATGTAGAGACCCAGTATCTCACACGGTTAGAATACATTTGGTTGGAGCTCCTTTACCGTGGTCGGCTCTACACCAATGAGGTGCGGCGTGTTTATGATCACTCACAGTAATAAAGTCGATGAACCATTCGGTAAAAGTTTTGGCACGGTGGACAGGTGCTAAGTCTTGCTGATACAGGAATCAGCTTCTCCTTAAAACTTATCAGCAGATGGAAACAGGAAGTGCTTAAAAACCTCAGGATAGACGACTGTGTTGACTGTGGACTTGATAAAAACACGGTGGACCAACAGCAGCAGGCGGCACGGACCTCACATCACCAAACTGGACTGATTTTCCTCCAGGACCCCGTCAAGTTACCACTCTTCTCTATGGTTGTGGCTGTGTGTACAGAATTAAACCCAAAGATATCGAGTATTTATTGTGTTTAAACACTTATTCACCCAAACTTAAAGGTGAAATTAAAAAACAAAAACTATTATTACTGGGGATTCATGGCGGAACTAGCATAAAATTTAAGTGTAGGGTGAAATTTTCTTAGTTTTCCAGGCCAGAACTGCGACTTCAAGAAACAACTTCTGATGACTTCTGCTGCGTTCCAGTTAACTTGGAAGACGGCTGTCGGAGCCAGGAATGACGTTACACCCGAGTTGACGGCATTTTACTGGTGTTCCAATAAACAAGTCAGAAAACCAAGATGGACGAATACTGTTAGCCGTTGTTAGCTGTTGTTAACAATTGTTAAGTTGTTAGACGTTGGGCAGTACAACATTAACCACTTATTTAATTTTACTAAAACAAAACAGAAGTGCGAATAAATAATACTATGCGAGAGCTTTCACTGTTACTCTTTACTGTTGATGCACTGCCATCTTGGATTATGACATTGTGGTCAAATCGGGGTTGGTGAGTATCGCCCAGCTTTCCGAGTCGGAAATCCGACTTCAGGGGGTGTTCCAGATGAATTTCAGATTCAGAGCTCAGAAATCCCGACTTCTGAGTAGAAATGGAACGCCCATAAAACATCAAACGCTGAATGGCTCCATAACTTTGTGTTTAAGTTTGTTTCCATGTTCCCTGTAAGGATCTTCATCAATGTAAGAAAGGAAACAAAATAAATTGAATTAAGTAATAGAACTTTTTACTATATCGGAAAACCTACATCAGCCAGAATCTAATGCTGCGTTCAAGTTACCTCAGAAGTCCGAGCTGAAAGTGACGTCACACCTGAGTTACCAGCGTTCCAGTTACCAAGTTTGAAAAAAGCAGAATCAGAACAAGATGGCTACATCTATGAAAGTTGTTTTAGCGCTTACCTTGTCCAAATATAAGGCAAGAGCTAAAATAACTTTCGTAGATGTAGCCATCTTGTTTCAGGCCTCCGATTTTGCTTTTTCCGACTTTGTACATGAAACGCTGGGAACTCAGGTGTGACGTCACTTTCCGCTCCCACATCTGACTTCCGAGGTAACTCGAACGCAGCATTATTGTACTGGCATTTCTGGATTTCTGATTGCCAAGATTAAATAAAATGCAAAATATTTTCTGCTTAAAATGTCTAAAGGACTTTTTGCTCCCAGCTAAGCCCCGCCCATAAAACATCAAACACTGAATGGGTCTGTAACTTTGTGTTTAAGTTTGTCTCCATGTTCCCTGTAAGGATCTTCATCAATGTAAGCGAGGAAACAAATTAAATGGAATTAACTTGTAGACCTTGTTACTGTATCGGTATAACGTATATCGACCGGAATCGAATATCGTGCGTTAGTTAATATTGATGACATAGGCCTAACTGACGCACGTGCGGCTGCAGTCCGGATCCTGTTACTCCACTCCGGGTCTTCAGGTCTGATGACAGAGGCCTCTTCACCAGAGCAGCCCTCCCACAGATCCCTCCGCAGGGTCAGACACACTTTTTACACAACACAAACAAATAAACTCGGCGCGAGGCAGATACCGATACACCTCCACACTTAAAACAGTCCCTCCCGGTGAACGTCGCCTCTGTCCGGGGCAGAGGACACCCACTCTGTCCGGTAAACGTGTCTGCTCCGGTAGAGCCGTTAATGTTTTCTCGGCCCTACTTCTCCTGCTGTCGCTGACAGGCGGTGCTTCGGTCGCTCCCAAACATGGCCTCCATGACGGAGCGACCGCTTCAACTTTAATTTTTCGTCAATTTTCAGCGCAAAAACCTCTTTTTCTGCTTCCACGATCAACGGGAATGTTTCGTCGCGGAATCTTATCATGGCAGCGTTGTGAAGCAGATGTTATCTTGGGGAGAAGTTCGTTGTTGGGTCTGAACAGATCGGTTTAAGTTGGCTGGAAAGCTGGAGAGGAAAAAGAGAATTGCATCAAATCAGTAAGGACGCTTTTTTCACCTTCCTTTTCGACACTTAAGCAGCTGTGCACCGCACTTTTCACTCAGCTTTGAGCCCTAACGGAACACTAAACACCGACATTTACGGAGAGAGGATGAATAAACGCGCCGTGGCGCCGGATGCGCTCGTTTCTGCTGCGCGCTAACGGCTAGCTCACGAGCTAATGCTAATGCTAACAGAGAAGTGATCAGTCAACTGGGCGGTCCGAAGAGCTAACGGCTAACTGATCAATTTAAAGGACCGATACAGACAGTTAATTAGATTTAAGTCACACTAACGCTTTAAATTTAATGTAATTTAATATGTTTTAATATCTGATGGTATTCCACTTTTAGATGAATCTGTGACAGTTTTGAAATCGATGTAAAGCCCGTTATAACTGCTCTGACAGATGGTTTCATTAGCATGCTAACACTCAGTATTTATCGAAGTCCAACCAAAAAGTCTTTAGTAATCAATCTAAAGGATCATAAGCTGATCTGATCTGATATATTTTTATTTTTGATTGGTTAATAGTTTCAGTCTGATCGTCTTATGTACATGTTAATGAGTTTAAAATTTGTTTACAGGTGTATTTACTCAGAGAATATAAAAGTGAAAATGTTCTGTTAGATGAAAAGTTCAGAAACATGTCCAGAGAAGTTTGAAAGGTCATGAAATTATCAGTTTGTTAACACCAAGAACAGCACTGAGACTTGGAGTATGAATGGGAGAAAAGGCTGATATTGTTGTTTGACTTTCTACATGACCACAAGTTATATTTATTGTAAATCAGAGAGACAGACACAAATATGAGAACATTTAAGGTTTGCGATGAACATATTTAATATTTCTTCAGAGCGTCAGAGAAACACAGAATTTTATTGTGAGTTTGTTTAATTTCGATTAAAGGTGGGTGATATGCTCAAAAGTATTTTGGGGATAAAACTTTTCATGATGGTTAATATTGATAAGAACTAGGGCTGGGGGATAAACTGATGATGATATATATCGAAAATTAATTTCCCTCAATATCAATATAAAACATGATCAATATGCTTTTCAATAGTCGTCAATGAAAAGGGGAGTAGCGCAGAGCACGCGCAACGCAAAAGGTTACAAACCCCGAGAGGAGCGAGGAGCCCATGGCGCCTGAAACAGACGACCATTCAGTCGGCTTTTTCTAGAGCAACGCCTTACGACAAAACGTCAAAGAGACACAAAGACCTCACAGATGCAGGAGATTATTGTGTTGGAAAAGACATGTGACCAATAAACACTGATACATTTCAGGTTTTATATCGTGATAAATCGATATCCACTGATGTGAAGAAAATAAATCCTGATTAACTTTTTCTCATATCACCCAGCCCTAATATGAACAAGTGAAACCTTTAAACAGTTAAAGTCGATATTAATGATGAGAGAAAAGGTCGATAGAGAATGCCAGTATCAGATTTTTCCCTTGAGCTTGATCGAACATTTCAATAAAAAAATCGGACAGAAAACTCTGGAGCTTCATAAAATATTCCCACGAGGGACTTTGGATTTCTATCCGATCATCTGAAGGTAAAAGTTTGATACTGAGGTTGTGATATCGGCCTTTGCTGATATCACAGTATGCACGATAAATCTCAGTTCATGCTTTCTTTCTAGTGTAAGGAGTTTTTTGCCCTTGAGTAAAAGTCGAAGAGCCCTGAAGGTTCATTAGCTCATATTTGGGGTCTGATAAGCTTCAGAAGTTCTTCATTTTTTCACTGCTAAATGGAAACATGTCTTTTCTGATGAATGACACAACTGAACTTTGACGTCTTTGTGTCTTTTTGTTTGCTGTTGTTTGGCACGGTGCTGGAAAACGCTGATTTGGGGAGTCTTGATTCTTGCTGCGGGTTCATTAAGACTCAATTGGTCTGTTACTTCTTTCTTTTATCGTGGTCTAATGAGAAGCATCTTTTCAGATGATTGAAAAGGTGAGTGGTGTGAACTGTGCTGCTCTAGATATCCTGTCAGTACTGAGGCTGAGTGGCCCGTCTCACTCTGCTCTGCATTTACCTCAGCGTTGTTACTAATTTCAGCTGCTTTGTTTCCATCCTACACTCAATAATCCTGCTGCTTTCAATTACAGCTGTAAATCAATCAAACTTTAATTGAATGTTTGTTTTATTCCTATCAAGACAGTGTATTACCATAATCACCATTGTTGTGTTACCGCCCAGCCCTACTGCTAAGATGTTGGTCAGTTTATTTTGAGGAGAAGGAGACCTCGTTGGTCTTCATTAAAGGTTCTCAGGACCAATGAATGAATCCAAGAAACTAATCTCATCATGGTCGATAACCATGTCGTCAAACTCTGTGGTGATGTGTCATGGGAGGTGGTTAAGTTTATCAACGAGCAGAACTGTATGAGAAAATTCAGAGATGATCCTCAGTGACAGAAGTTCTTCACAGAACGTCCCAGACTTGAATCACGCAGTACGTTTACGTGACACTCAAGAAAACTGAATTATCGTGTTACTCTGATAAAGACCAGACAACTGAAGGTAATATAAACATCTTAGTCCGACTATAATCAGAGTTTAAGAACTCTGATTAAGACACCCGGATAATGAGATTGGAATTCGATTTTCTCTACCATGTAACCAGCGTAGTCGGAGTATGATCGGACAATGCATGTAGGCCTGGCGCTACGCCCCCGTAACCCCGTAACAAAACCCCCAGAGTAGAGGAGTAGCGTTGGTCTCATCTTTAGAAAAAGTAGCGCGTCCATCATGTCGGACAAAAACAACGCTGTACGATGCTCCATCTTCTTGTTTCTCCAAAATGCCCAGCAGCAGTTGTAGACACTTCTGACGTCTGACACCGACCTGCTGTTGTTGTTGACGGTTGTATGGGGTCGGAAACAGCGCCGCTGAAAAGACCCATATCGCCCCCTAGTTTTGGGGAGGAGGACACGCTCACGTCAAAGTCTGATTGGGCGAAAAAAAGACGAATTATGAGCTTCGTCCGATTAAACTGTGACTGTTAACGTACTGACTGCTCACCAAACTCTGACAGCGAGTGAACGAAACACTCATCAGACGGGATCGTGGCGTCCTGGGGAGTCATATGTGCTGATGGTCAGTTGATGTTTTGGAGCATAAACGTGTCGCCTGAATTAGAGTGATGGCGGTGTTAATGGGTCGTGTCCTGTGGTGCTGCTGTTGTTGTCTGAACTGGAGGCGCCGATCTTCTATCCCGACTGAATCCAGTCCAGTGTTCACCCTCCTCAGTGTCAGCTGTTCCACCTTCAGCTCTCTCACTTTGAGGAGGCTGATGTTCGGTCTGTCGACATCTCCATCACTGACAGATGTCCGTACAAAGAAAATCAACCTCACTTGTTTTTGAGTTTTGACCTGCAGTCTGAACAGTCAAAGTGATGTCTCATGTTCCAGTATGTTCATGTGTCAGACTACCAGGGTTCAGAAAAGGCAGGAGAGACATAAAAATGTTGAACTAGGTGAGCTGAGTGACAGGAAATGGGTCCTCTGTGGGTGTGGCCAAATGTACTCTCTTTAGTGCACGTCCTTCACCTCACTGCTCTGTCTGACAGGTGTTAAAGGACACCTGAGGCAGGTCTCAGTTCTTCATGTTAAAATGAGACTGAAGGACTGTAGCTGAACACTGTGGAGTCACATGGTCTGATAATCAATACAAAGTTAAACATTAAAAACAACAAACCTGTGTGTTTTTAAGTTCAGGGGCAGGATAGTGAAAACTTCTTTAAAGACCAGGCAGTAAACTCTGAACGACTGTTTCAGATCAGGAACTAACTCATCATATCAGCGCTTAAAGAATATGAAGAGGAGAGGTCAGCGTGGTTAAGGCTGGGGTTAAAGGTCACTGATGTCTCCTGTCTGGTGTTATACTTCTGGGATTGGCTGGGTGAGCTGTCAGTCATGATGATTGACGTGTGATCAGTGGGTCACTGGGTCATGACCTTCTGCCCCAGTCTGTATCAGGACGGATGTCTGTTCAGTCTCACACCTCGAGTTTGTAGAGCTGAACGATAACAGAAGAAAAAAACGTATTATTTTTATTATTTTTATTGTTTAAATTGAGTCTGACGGCCACAGAAATGAGACGTGTGAGGACGCTGCAGAGACAGTAAACTCCTAAAACGTGGAGATGTTCGATCAGACTCTATTTTCTACGTCACATTTTCCTGAATCACACGACTGTAAACAAAGACAGGGTTAAGATCAGACCTCTCACTCTGTATCTCCTCCCGTGGACCAAACCTGACTCCTCTCTCTTTCTCTTTTTTTCTTTTTACCCAGAATGCCATCTGAGGCTCAGTCTCAGGAGCCTCGGGACAGAGGACCGGCCCCTCCTGTCACTCGGGCCGGACGCAGCGCTCAGCTGGCCAAAGCCGCCGCCACTAGCCCCGTCCCTGAGAGGCGGCCCCGCGGGCGTCCTCGGAAAGATGGGAGCAGCGGTCGATCGGCTCCTCCCACCCCTCCCCCTCCTCCACCACCTCCTCCTCCGCCTCCCAAATCCAGGAAGAAGTAAGTGAGATGTGTGACTCCTGGGGAGTCATATGTGCTGATGGTCAGTTGATGTTTTGGAGCATAAACGGGTCGACTGTGATGATAACGAGCTGAAGGAGGTCGTACTGCCACCTACTGTACTGAAGGACTAGAGATGATTCTGTTTAATGAAACTAAAGTCAACATCAATATTATCAGCATCTCTGACCAGGACCAGTATGCACCTGCATCTGTACAGTACACACCAGGAGAAGGTCTGAGGAGATGCTGAACGTCATGATGACTTTAGTTCAGAAGAAAAAGACTGAAACGCAAATGTCCTCGAATCTGTCAAAGAAATTGAAACAAGAAAAAAGACGCGTCTGAAAAAGTCAAAGTGATGTCTCATGTTCCAGTATGTTCATGTGTCAGACTACCAGGGTTCAGAAAAGGCAGGAGAGACATAAAAATGTTGAACTAGGTGAGCTGAGTGACAGGAAATGGGTCCTCTGTGGGTGTGGCCAAATGTCACCTGTGCAGACTGTTACGCCGTCGACCCTCAGGAGTCTAAAATGAAGCGAGTGTCTGTGTCAGCTTCAGGTTTGACTGTATTAGAGTCCATATGTGTGTGTGTGTGTGTGTGTGTGTGTGTGTGTGTGTGTGTGTGTATTGGAGGAGGGGTAAGGCGTAATGGGGAGGAAGTGGTTAAGTTGCACGCTGGGTAATGAGCAGGAGATGTGCTCTGGACTGAGTCTGGTCCAGGTTTTACCTCCTGCTACTACACTACACACACATACACACACTTTCATACAAACACACATATACACACACACACTCACTCTGCTGGATCTACTGGGGGGGGCATATGTGATGTCATGGTGTTTACCTGAACACCTGGTCAAAGTTCAGGTGAAAGTGTTTTTCTGACTCTAAAGTCAGAGTTTTAGTTTACAGAGAAAATCTCTGATTTTCTGTTGATCGCTCTGATATTGATCGATTTATTATTCTTTATTATATTCGATTGTTTAAGTCATTTTGATTAAATCTGTTCAGTCTGGACTGGATCATGTTGACACTCGCAGAAAAACAAACATCATTAAATGAGAATTAATAAGATCTCACTGATCGTAGATTTCCTTTAGTGTCCGTCTGTAAACACGGCCTCATGTCTGCTCATTAAAATCTCAAAGTGGATTATAAATCATTCCCCTTTTGTGGTCGTCTGCAGCCATCTCTTTGGACTTTGTGATCAGCTGAGGTTTAAAGGGATATTCCGGCGTAAAATTAATTATAGGTCAAACCCACCGTAACACCGAGTTAGACCCCCCCTCCAGAGATGAATGTTGCCGACTGCTTGCTTCTCTAGTTATAACAACTTTAGTAACGACCGCAGGATAGCAATACAGAGAGCCACGCCCTCAACCAAAACGCCACTCTATAGCCACAAATAATGCTCAGAACAGCACCTAACTTCATCAACAGGACATATAGGGTCACAGATATAGTACTATATTCAGAGTTGTTCTAACTCCTAAGAAAACATTAAACTTAAGCGGGGGCGTTTCTCCACCTCTGTAGTCTATAAGCTGGGCCAAGAAACTTCTACTGTAGTAAAATGAAAAGGTAAAGGTGTTTTTATTGAGCCGAATAATCAATAAAATCATAATTTTGTTAACAGGTATGGATTTATGTGCTGTCAAGTTAGTATATGTGAATATGAGCACAGTAAAGTTAAATCAGCTAATTTTTCAATGAGCTTCTGTTACTAAACAGAACTACACCATGATCTACTGAGGTTAGTACATATAGGGTCACAGACATAGTACTAGACACCAAACATCTTTTTAACTTTGACTCATTTCTTTAGCAGAGAGACTAAACACAACTCACCTACTCTCTTCCAGCAGACGCTTGTTTGTAGAGAGACCTCAGGCCAGTCCATTAGGGACTACAGCGGGGTGACGCAGCTCAAGGAAGAACATTTATGATCATTTCTTTATCATTTCCTTGAAGTAATAATCACCATATTAATCATTTTTCACTGCAGACGTGGTAGTTCTTCTGTCTTAGCGTCTCGCTCTGATTGTATTTCCATGAAGAAATATCCCTTTAAGAATCAGCTGTTGGCTCACGTTTCTTTTACTCCTCAATCTATTGATTAGGATTAGAGGTAAACGGGTTAATCAGGCTGATCGATGACATTTTTTCAGGCTGTGATGGTCAGCTCTGAACTCACTGTTCTTTTTAAAATGTTGTTGAAGCTAATGGCAGCTGGTTGTCGCAGTTTAACCTAATGGACAGAAATAACACTGAACCTCCAGAGACAGACTGTGTCTAATGATGTGTTCACAGCAGACTCAGAGAAAGTGTCATAAACAAACTCTGCTGCTACGGTTTTTAAATTATCACACACTTTTATTTTCGGCATTGACGTCACCCAGCCCCCCGTTTGCAACAACTTTGGACAGATATAGTGATCCGATTCATGGATAGACGTGGACTATCAAACTATGGGAGAGAAGTGGATGGGAGATAGGTCTGAAATACAGGAGAGTGCTGGAAAAACAGGAGTGTTGGCAGGTATGCTATAAGCTGTGCGCCTTTCTGCGAGGAGCATACTTCTCGGCGGGTGTAAGTTTCTCGGCACAACAGCAGCATAAACTAACGGCACCGTTTCGGGTCCATTCGGGACAAATGAGGGGTTGGGTGACCTCTGGATGACCTATAAAACAATATTTAATAACTTGAAAATAAAAAATTAAACGGCACAAACGAAGCATGAACGAAGCAGACTTTTTTCCCGAAATTTTGCGTGGGGTGGGGGGCCAAGCTTCACGCAGGTAGATTTACTTCCCTGTTTTTGAATCCATAAACGAGAACAAACTGGAAACGTTTCCTTCAGCTTCTTGAAGCTGTAATCGTCGGTGAAATTTAGTTGTTAAAGTTTGATCAGCTGTTAAATCGGTCTCTCTGTGTTTCAGAGGACGAATCTTCATCAGAGTTTTTGGAGCAGCTCGGACCCATCGGCCTCCCACATGACATCAACGTCCAATCACTGTTCGACCCTACAGGTACGGGAAGCCCCTCCTCTTCTCTCCACTCTTACCTCCATCCTCCCTCTGCCTCTGTGAACTGACTGTGTGTGTGTGTGTGTGTGTGTGTGTGTGTGTGTGTGTGTGTGTGTGTTTGTGTGTGTGTAGGTCAGTGCTGTGCTCACATGCAGTGTGCAGCCTGGTCTGAGGGGGTGTGTCAGGGTGAGGGCCAATCGCTGCTCTTCGTGGATAAAGCCATCGACTCAGGAAGCACACAGGTCCGTTTGTCTTTTATCTAAATAATTAACACTAAATCAAGAGTGTCCCAGCCTTGTTAAGCCCCGCCCTCTCTCTCTCTCACCTTTACAGGTGTGTGCATTCTGCCGACGGCTGGGTGCATCACTGCGTTGCCGGGACACAAACTGTGGGCGGAGCTACCACTTCCCCTGTGCTGCTGCTTCAGGAGCTCAGCAGGACTGGAGCCAGAAACACATACTGTGTGCAAGACACACAATCACAGGTACACACTCAGTTTACACAACCTGGTTTGTTCATGAAGCCGGGTGTCAATAAAGTTTCTCTGTCGATGTAAACGAAAGAAACATGATGAGCTGACGGTTTAGAAACGTTTATTTAAAACGATCAAAATTGTGACTATAAAGGATTAAAAGTTTCAAACAGTAAACACTCAATTTCAGTTTCAAGAAGCCTTATTGGCATGATTGTGACTACAATACTGCCAAAATGTTTAAACACAATAATAACAACAACAATAATGGTAATATTAATATTAATAAGAATAATAAAACAACAATTAAAAAAATAAAATAAAATAAAATAATAATACAACAACTACGACAACAACAATAATATTAATAGTAATTATAATAAGTATAATTATAATGATATTATAACAGCAATAATAAAATTAAAATAATAAAATGAAAAACTTAATTCAATAACAACAACAATAATTATAATAATAATACTAGTATATTATTATGATTATTATTATTAATAATCATAATAATACCATAAAAATGAAAATAATAACATTAAAATATAATAATAATAATAATAATAATAATAATGGTAATGATGATTAAATATAATAATAATAATTACTTTAATATTATTATCATTATCAAATTTTCAATGATAATAAAACAACGACAATAATAATAATAATACAAAATATAACAACATAATAAAAGTAATAATGAATAAAAAGTGTCACTATCATCATGTTTGCTGATTAAAAACGGATTTAAACACTTGCTTTCCCTCTCTCATTCCCCCCCACAGGGTCTTCACAGTGTATGTTGTGTTCAGGCAGTGGTGATGTCAGTGGTCTGTTGATGTGTTGTTGCTGTGGAAACTGTTACCATGGCAGTTGCCTTGACCCCCCTGTGGCCCCCTCCCCCCTGTCTCGGGCCGGCTGGCAGTGTCCTGAGTGTCGAGTGTGTCAGTTCTGCAGGTAACACACACACACACACACACTTGTCACAGTGATTGTAACTACTGTGTATTTTGGGATGACTGAACTCTCCTCTTCCTCTGTTTGTGTGTTTGCGTGTTAGACTACGAGGGGATGATGTGGAGTTGCTGGTGTGTGAGCGCTGTGATAAATCCTACCACACACACTGTCTCACTCCTCCCCTGGATCACACACCGAGTTTCGGCTGGAGCTGCAAGGTGAGACACACACACGTACTCAGAGTTCAGTCAGACTTTCTTCATGTGTGTCTGTGTTTGTGTGTGTTTTTATAACCTCCTTCTCCTCCTCCTCCAGAGCTGCAGAATCTGCAGGAGTTGTGGTGTGAGGTCAACAGGCCAGTGGGCCAATCACCCGTTTCTGTGTGAGTCATGTGACCCAGCCCTGCCCTGCCCTCTCTGTGACCGTGCCCCCGACCTCTACACACCACAGGACTATCTGACCTGTACCTGCTGCTATAGGTACACACATACACACACACACACACACTTAATTATTCAACAGGGTAAACAGGAGCTGAATATTATATCATAAACATTCAGAACAAAATGAGACATGAGTTTCTGACTCAGTCATCGTATTTTCAGAGGAGCACAAAAGTTTAGTGAAATTTTATAGCAAAGTAAAACGAGAAAATCCATCAGAGGTTATGAGTCAAGGATAAGTCAAGATAAATGAGGGGAGTCGGCTGTTTGTTCAAAAGGAAGAACTCGGTAAAGGCTTGAAAGGGTTATGGTGACCATACGTCCTCTTTTACCCGGACGTGTCCTCTTTCGGGGGGCTGTCTGGGGGGAGTTTATAAAATTGTTCAAATGTCGGGAACATGTATTCATTCATGATAAAACAGTGCAGAGCATCAGTGCGCTCTGCAGCTTCGCCCCTCCACTCACTTCTAAGCAAAGTCACTGACGAGACGCACGCATGTGCTGTCTTTGGGAATTCAGAATAATATGAGTTTAACTGAGTTAGAAGTACATAAAAAACTCTTGACCCAACAAAAAAAAACAAACTTGTAATGGTGTCCTCTTTTTGGGGATTCAGAGTATGGTCACCCTAACGTATGTCCTGTGTTAACATAAACACAATGCATGCCAGAAATGCACAAATAGCATTTTTGTTGGATTATTTTTAGGCTCTCACTGAAGGTGGCATACATCTGTTTCTGTTATCAGAGACTCAATAAAATTTGAGTTGACCATGAAAAATAGTCTTTTTTTTTTAAATCAAAGAAAGGCATTGATAAGGGAATCATTAATGAATTTAATCGATAATTGCATCTATAATATCTTATCAATTCCCATCCCTAAGGTTTGGTGATAAATTACACCTCATGCTTTTTTTATTAGTCACATCTGGTTTCAACCACGCATGCAAAAAAAATACAAAAAAATGAAATAATTTGGTAAAATGAGTTTACCATAAGAGGTTGATAAAGCTGCTCAGTGAAAGATGAAGACATGATGAAATCCATTTACTTTATTTCCTGTTTAATCTAAACTTTAAATGTCTCGCAGGTGTGTCCATACGGAGTGTATAGTCCAGTCGGGGGAGGGCAGGGCGGGGTCTGAAGATTACGTCTGCTCCACCTGCAGGCCTCAGGAGGAAAAACTAATAGCACACACTCCACCCCCCCATAGTCCTGCCCCGGCCAAGCAGAGTCCACCACAGGCAACAACCATCAACATTTCACAACCACAAAGTCCAAGTCACACAGAGGCTCCACATTTCAGTTCCACCACTCACAGTCCAGTCCAGCTCATCTCCACTGAGCCCCCGCAGAGTCCTGCCAGGACCCTCTGTGAAGAAATGCAGCAAAGTCCTGCACCACCCCACCCTGATTCATCAGAGCCCCCCCAAAGTCCTGAGCCATCTCATCCCAATCCCAAAGAGATCCACCAAAGTCCTCCACCAGCCCAGTCTGATCAAACAAAACCCCCACAGAGTCCAGCAACAGAGCTTCCAAACAGTCCTGAACCATCTCACCCTGGTTCTGTAGAACACCATGAAAGCCCAGCACCATCTCACCCTGATCACACACAGCTCAAACAAAGTCCACCACCTCACCCTGATCCTGAGGAGCTCCTTGAAAGTCCTGCAGAACCTCACCCTGATCACAGAGAGCTCATACCAAGTCCACCATCTCACCCTGATCCCACTGAGCTCCAACAAAGTCCTGCAGAACCTCACGCTGATCCCACAGACCCGGATCAGAGTCATTCTCCATCTCTGGAACAAATTCCATCATCGACACAAGACCTGCAGAAAAGTCCTTCGCCATCGCGCCCTGATCCAACAGATCTTGAAAAAGGTCCTTCGCCATCCCCCATGGATATCAAGGAGCTCCACCAGAGTCCTGCACACTCTGACTCTGGTCCAGCAGATCATCTTCACAGTCCTGCCTTTACAAATAATGGGCCATCAGAGCTCCAGCCAAGTCCCCAATCTGAGCCAATAAACCTCCCACAAAGTCCCCCTGTCTCTGAACCTTCAGAGCTCCAATCAGGTTCTGGAACACCTTGTCCTAACCCAGCAGAGCTCCCAAAAAGTCCAGCCCATTCTGACCTTGATCCACCAGGGCCAGCACAAAGTCCTGCACCATATCATCCTGTCTCCACAGGTGATCAGGAGATCCACGTCACACCTCACCTTAGTCTAGAAGAGCTTCCACAGAGCCCCACACAGTCTGATTCTGGTCTGACAGAACTCCCAAAAAGTCCAGTTCTTGGCCCTTCCAGTCCTGCTGACCTTCAACCAAGTTCCCCCCACCTGGAGCAGAGTCCTCCTCAGATCAGTTGTGCTTCTCCCAGACCTCCCCACGGTTCCTCACAGGATCAGCTCATGGTCACAGAGTGTCCACAGGGTAGTCCCATGTCATGTAGCCTTCCGCATTCCCCACAGAGTCAGACTGAGACAGACCTTGTTCTTGTCCAGGTCCAGCCAGTGCCTGCAGACCCTCAGCTTAGCCCTCTGCCACCACACAGTCCCATGCAGGACGACACCTTAGAGACACAACTTGGTGATTCACAAAGTCCTCAACACATCATCAACCACCCCCATCTCAGTCCTCCTCCACAAGTCTGCACATCACATCCACCAAGTCCTGCAAAGGATTCTGAACCTACACTGGACCAGAAGAGCCCTGGATTGAGCGACTCTGCTCAGTCGTGTTCTGGAGCCACCCAGAACAATTCTACACTGGACCAGGATCTCTTACCAGTCTATTGTAGGTCTGCTCAGAAACCAAGAACGCATGCCTCACTGAGGGTCTCTTCAGCTCCATGTAGCCCATCACAGTCTCCACTTAGACCTGAACCAGGTAGGCTGTCGCTACCGGCAAGTCCAGCACAGACTGAGATCCCTTCACAGCTTCGCCTTCTTCAGACCAGAACCACAGAGCTGAAGTCTTCGCTGAGTCCCAACCCCGATGGCCAAACACTGGAAAGTAGTCCCGCTCCTCTTAGCCCCACTTCGCCCCTTGAGAACCAAGAACACGCCGTTGATCTAGACCGGTCCAGCCCCTCTCACGGCCCGGTCTCGCCCGCACCAGAAAGCCTTGTTCACATGAGCACTTCGATGGAACACAGTAGCCTAACACGCTCACCTTACGCCGACGACATGGAGGAAGACCCTCCAGAAGCTCGTCATGGTCATCAGAGTCCTTCTAGTGACCGCGAACTTTGCCAAGGTAGTCCAGTACATATCCAACAAAGTCCAGTCAGAGCGAGTCCCACCCATGCCAGTAAGACGCCTGCTAGTCCCGCCAGCTCTTCCCAGGCCTGTGCTGGTCCAATGACAATGGGGACTAGACTTTTAGGTGAAGAAATGAGCCCCTCAACAACGCCGGCCGGATCCATCCACCCCACCTCAAACCAGGACAGCACCAGTCCCTTTACTGGTCCCAGTCATCCTCAGTCTACTCCAGACAGTCCAGTCCACACAGAAGCTAATAGTGACCACAGTCTCATGGACACGCAAGAGGGAAGTCCTGCACATCCCGGCCAGTCAAGTCCCTCATTGGTTCAGAGTTCTCCAGTCCACACCAGTCCCCGTCCAAGTCCAGCTCGCTTTAGTCCTCCACACTGTAGGTTGACCGGTTCTAGCCCAGCTAGTCGCTCTGTTAGCCCCAGTCTGAGCCCCCCCGGCCAGACTCCATCCTGCTCTGCTGACACACTCGATGTCGGTATCATCTGTAGTCCACCTAGGTCTAGTCCTGCTGGTCAAGCTAGTCCTGTTCACGTACAAAACTTGAGTTCGGTCCACTCAGGTCGAGTCCAAAGACTGTCCCCATCCTCAGCGAACAGTACTTGCAGCAGTCCTGTACGGGATACCGCATCACACATTAGTCCACCTCACAGTCCAGCTCCTGACACTGGAACCAGTCCTGGCCTCTCTGTGGCCCAGCTGAGCTCTGCTGAGGAGATCATGGCCAGTTCAGAAGCCCAGAGTCCTGCTCCTCCAGTTTCAGTCCAGCTTGGTTCTGGTCTTGATGAACCCACAGACAGTATTAGGCAGATCAGCCCCCCAGCTGATGACTCGTGTCCTGGTAGCCCCGACTCGGCAAATCTGAGCCAGGTTCCCCAGTCTCCAGATAGTCCTCTCTGTGCCCCAGATAGTTCTGCTGTTGAAATCCAACCTTCCCAAGCAAGCCCCCTTTATCAAGAACCAGGAACCCCCCCTGTTAATAGGACTTCCACTCATGCTAGTCCAAGTCAGGCCAGTCCTGTCTGTTCTAGTCCCGCTCAGGATCACACTGCAATGCCAAGCTCAGATCTCAGCATTGAAACCCCAGCTAGTCCCCCACCTCCTGGCTCTCCTCAGACCTCCTCCACTGCTCCTCAAATTCAGGCCAGTTCTGTGCACAGTAGTCCAATCAGGAGTCCTCCTTTTGGCCCCTTGGAACCCGGTGATTCACAGCCTAGCCCAGATCCTGTCCCTCTACCAGAAGCTGTTCCTAGTTCAAGTCCTGTTAGCCCCATGGAGCTGAAGGCCAGTCTCAGTCCGGGCCATACAAGCCCAGGTTCTGACGTCCCTGTGCAGCTTGAGATCAGTCACAGTCCTGGTTCTGGTGGCCCGATGCAGACTGATGATAGTCTTGGTTCCTCCAGTCCTCAATCAGGGAAGGAGTCTGCAGCCATAGAAGGTGAGTGTCAGAGAAGACGTACGAGATTTTCAGGAGTCATCATGTTTGTTTTTGATTCTTGTAGACCGTCAGCAAACAACTAAAGGATTTAGATTTAAAGACCTTTATAGAGCGCTAAAGAAGACGGGATCCTGAGTGAACTATGATTTCCAATTCTTTGGTGAAAGGACAACTGGACTTCCTTGAGGCGAAACGTCTCAAGTCCAGTTGTCCTTTCCAAAAGAGTTTTAGATTTCAATCCATCAGACTCTGTTTTATCAACATTATACACACAATCGGTCCCAACTCTTCTGGACTTGAGGGTCTGTTTTCAGAGTTCTGGTTCTGGTTCAAAAACGTTTCTTTATTTGTCTAGAAGTCAGCATGTTGGAGGAGCAGGAGGACGGAGTAATACAGAAGAAGACTGAAGAGGAGGAAGAGGAGGAGATGGACATAGAAGCTCTGGAGCAGAAGGAACGAGAGGAGGAGGAGCAGGAGGAGCAGGAGGAGAGGGAGGAGGAGTGTCAGCAAACGGCAAAGAGGAGTCCAGAAAAGGAAGAGTCCGTGGAGGGGAGAGAAGGAGGAGAGGAGGAAGTCTGTGTCTCTGCAGGTAGGAACCAACTGTGGTACAAATATGAATGTTCAGTGTGTGTGTGTGTGTGTGTGTGTGTGTGTGTGTGTGTGTGTGTGTGTGTGTGTGTGTGTGTATTATGGGGTATGAAGGAGAACTGAATCACCTCCACTCTTCTCTTTCCTCTTTTCTCTCTGCAGGAGTCCATCAGGAGCTCCATCAGTCTCCTTTTCTCACTCTGGCTGCCTCCCCCCTTCTCGTCCAGCCCTCTCCTCCCACCTCACCAAACTCTGCCTTACTCCCCCAACAGTCCCCTCACTCCTCTTTACCTCCTGCCTCCCCCCTAACCTCACCTCTGTCCCCTCCTCCTCCTCCTCCTGCCAGAGCTGGCTCTCAGGAGGCCTCCCCCTCCTCACCTCACAGGACTGCCTTACTCCCCCCTTGTTCCCCTCGTTCTCCTCACTCTCTGTCCCCTCCCTCTCCGACTGTAGAAGACCGCCCACAGGAAGAGGCGGAGCCAGTTATTCAGGAAGAAACTGAGACAAAGAAGGAAGTGACCGAGGCTCTGAAGGATGAAACACTTTTCTGTCATGTGACAGCTGATGGCAGCCAATCAGAGCCCCCGATTGAACCTGTCGCTCTGATAACAGAACCCACCAAAGAAAAGCACCAATCACATGCTGAGCCTTCAGAGAGGAAGGAGGAAGAGGAGGAGGAGGAGGAGGAGGAGGAGGAGGAGCCTGCTGAAACTCCAGCAGCACCGGCCTCTCCTGAGCAGCAGCCAATCAGGGAGCAGCAGAAGGAGGAAGAGGAGGTGCATGAGGAGGAAGCAGCTGTTAGGAGGGAGGAGGAAGAGGAGGAGGAGGAGGATGAAGATAAAAGTTTCAAGCCTGAGGAGCAGTCAGATGTGGAGGAGGAGGAGCCTGTGAGCCCTGTGCTGGAGCTGGACCCGTCTTTAGACATGGAGGTGATGGAGCTGATGACCTCCTCATCACCTCCTCCTTCACTCCTGCACCTTCCCTCACCCAGTCCGCCTCCCTTCTCCCGCCGGGGGAAAGGTCGGACACTCAGACCTCCCCCCTGCTCCACCCGACCTTCAGACGACCTCTCCATCCGTCTGAGACAGTCTCCATTCTCCACTGAGGCCTCCCCTGAGACCTCCCCGGTCAGAACTCCCATGACGCCTCCTCCGCTCTCCCCACCTTCACCTCCTCTGAGGGTCTCTCCCTCTACCAGGGAGTCTCCACCTCTTTCAAGGGTAAAGATGACTCCTTGTTTCCTCCTCCTCCTCCTGCTGCTCCTCCTCCTCTGTGTGACTCACCTGTTTTATCTGCTCTCTCTCCAGCCTCAGGCTCCTCTCACCACTGTGATCCCCCTGACTCCGAAGATCGGGATGGGGAAACCGGCCATCTCTAAGAGGAAGTTCTCCCCGGGCAGAGCCAGGATCAAACAGGTGTGTGTGAGACCTCTGGAGAGTCTCCGGTCGACTCTAAAGATGAAACTTAGATCTTGTTGTTAGTGAGTTTTTATTGTTTCACTTTGATAATCTGGATTAAGATCAGATTATGATTTGATTGTGAAGATTATGATTCTCACACAGAAACATTTGAAACCAAACCTGAAAAAAGGAAAGTCCAGTTTTCTCGGTGAAGTTCTGCCGTGTTGGAGAGAGTGATGTAACAGCTGTTTCTGTTTTTGAGAAGTACTCTTCCTCTTAAACTAAACTCTCTCTCTGTGAGGATCCTTTCTCTCATGTCAGAAACTTTAGCTGCGATTCTGCTCAAGGCGAAAACATACAGGATGTGTATTTGGAGCGTGGCAGCAGCGTCTCGTATCTCGCAGCAAATAAGTTTCCATTCTAAACAAACCAGCAGAGCGTACAGGACGTCTATCAGCTCCGTCGCAGCATCGTATCGAGAGCAGCTCTGCTAAAGATACGCGGCGAGTCGATTTTTTTCTGCTCTACGCTTCCAATGGGGGTCAATCCACACAGAGAAGATCGTTCCAGACAGGAAGTCAAGAAAGAAAACCACACATCATCCAGTATTTCAAAATAAAACACCATATGTGAACTCCTGACTGTGGGAGGGGTAGCACTACGCTGCTGCTACGCTCCAAATACACTGATCCTGGATGAGATATCCAACGCTGCTCTACGGAGCAAATACAGAACAACACGCTCAATATAGATCATGGATATTTTCGGCCCAAGCGGTCCAGTTCACTCAGGTTTGGTTCTGTAGTGGTTCTTTTTCCATTGTCAAAAGTGTAAAAAACAAAAGGACCAAAATAACAGATCCATGCAACGGCTGCAGCTTCAGGATTTACTGCAGCGACCTGGACCAGAGTTAGGATTAAAGTCTGAGCAGGAAGAATTAAGAGGACACACTTTGAGGAACTTTATATTCTTGTACCTGAATTTCCCGTTTCTGTCCTTCAGTCACTCTGATCGACCTCTAGGCCGCAGTGTTGTCCCTCTGTCCCAGTGGATTATGGGAAATATTCTCTTAAGCTTTATGGAGGGAGAACCAGAAAGATCTGTTCCTCCACATCCTCTCCTTCTCTTCCTCCTCTTCCTCCCTGTCTGCCACTCACTGAAACCACTGCATCCACTCTTGATTCTGCAGCATGTACACACACACACACACACACACACACACACACACACACACACACACACACACTCATAAAGATCATGGCATGAAGCTGTTTTTGTCTGTGAGTGAATGTTGGCGTGTTGAGAGGAGGAGTCAGCTGATCAAACGTCGGGTTTAAAGTTTAGCTCTCGCTACTTTGAAAACAGACGCTGAAAATATGAGCTGGTTGTCATAGTAACGGTCAGACATCAGTCTTCTCAGACAGACCGTCATCCTTTAAACCTTTGCATCACAAACAATGATCTTTGTAAAGACTCTTCACGTTCATGCAAACTTAAAGTTCCTCCTCCTGTTTTTTATTTGTTCTCTTCGAGATGAAAAGTGTCTCGGTTCCTTTTTTTATCTGTCAAAAACAATTTAATTTAATTCTTTAAAGATGTTAGTAAATTGAAGAAACTTAAAGCCTCTTCATGCTTACTTTCTTACTTTACCAAAACCTGTCTGTCCATCTAACTGGACCATATAAACAGTCACGTGTTTAAATCTCATCTCTGCAGGAGCTTCAGTTTAACTTTGGTGATAATACTCAGTAGATTCAATGTCAGATTTCACGTCTGTTGAACTCTTTAACATTTTATCGCAGATCAAATAAATCCCTCATCCTTTTGAAGACTTCCTATGATTTCTTTAAAAACTTTTTATCCTGACAATTTTCTGATCAGCAGCTTCTGTGATCGAGTTCATTCTGTCCCTTAGCTTTTCAGACACACACAGCTGCTGTCTCCTCCTCTCCTCTGCTCTCCTCTACTCTCTCCTCCTCTTCTCTCTTCTCTCCTCTCTCCTCCTCCTTATCTCCTCTCTCCTCCTCTCCTCTCTCCTCTCCTCTCTCCTCCTGTGTCTGTCTTTCTGAAGTGACAGTGAGCGCTGTCTGAGGGGAGGGGCCACGCCCTCACTGTTTTAGGGGCGGGGCCACGCCCTCGCTCTGGAACGGTTCGCGTCATTAAACGTATAGGACCTAAAATTGACCTTTAGTTAGTTTCATCACAGTGAGGGATATGACTCCTCCCACTCCGTGTGTACTTGTGTGACTGTCTGTTCTCTGATTGGTTGCATGTTGTTGCCATGGTAACATTGTCTCATTAAGACCTCTGTTGTTTTTTTGCCTGATTTGTCGTCTTCAGTTCTTTTTTGAAGTTTTCTTTTGTGGCTGTTGCATTTATGTTACTGCATTTTGTCCCCCCCCACCTCCCCTTCTCTCTCCTTTCTCCTCCTCTACCTCCTCTTCTTCTTTTTCTCCCCCCCACCACCACCTTTCTTTGACCTTATTCCATCCACCCCCTCCTCCTCCTCCTCCTCCCTAACTCAGGGTTCGTGGTGGAGTAACCGCAGGGCGGTGAGCCCCCCCTCATCCTCCCAGGATTCCATGGGGGAGGGAGGGTGGGACAGCCCTAAACCTCAACCACCGGACTCCCCCCTCTGGAGCATGAGAGTGGTAAAGAAGCAGACTCTAATAACTAACCCTCGAACCTACTAACTCTGTGTGCTCTACCCGCCCCGCAGGGATGTAACCGTGTCAAAAACAAGCGCACCCTAACTGTCAGCCTGTCTGTGTGTGTGTGTGTGTGTGTGTGTGTGTGTGCTGGAGCTAACAGCAGCTCACTAACTGTGTGTGTCTGTGAGCGCCCTCACCCTCCTGAACCCGCTGAACACGGAGGCGTGAGCTTTAGCCTCCTGATGATCAGAATCGGAGAGTTTGTTAATAATCCAAGAATTAATGTTGAACACGAACGTTTTCATATTTCAGTCAAAGAGAGAGAGCTCGTTTTCAATTTGGCGCCAGCAACACTTTTTTAAAGCGTTTGAAAAGGACAACAGTTCTCCTTCCCCCCTCAGGGTCGGGGTTCAGGGTTTCCAGGCAGGAGGAGGTCCAGAGGAGGAGGCCTTGGAGGAGGAAGAGGAGGCAGAGGAAGGAGCCGACTGAAAACCCAGGACAGTCTGACGATTTCACCCGGGGTAAGAACACACACACACACACACACACACACACACACACACACACACACACACACACACACATCAGTGGAGGTGTTCATGAGTGTTTCTCCTCCTCAGTCTGTGTATGTGGAGCCGCCTCAGCCGAAGGAGGAGGAGGAGAACTCCATGCACAACACAGTGGTGATGTTCTCCACCGTAGACCACTTCACCCTCAGACAGGTACGCCTCCTCCAGACTCCAAATCATCTGGTCAGATAAAAGGGTCACCATGTTTCTCATAAACCTCCTGTGTGTTTGTGTTTGTGTGTGTGTTTGTGTGTGTGTGTGTGTGTTTGTGTGTGTGTTTGTGTGTGTGTTTGTGTTTGTGTGTGTTTGTGTTTGTGTGTGTTTGTGTGTGTGTGTTCAGGACATGTGTGTGGTGTGTGGCAGCTTCGGTCAGGGGGCTGAGGGACGACTCTTGGCTTGTTCTCAGTGTGGACAGTGTTACCATCCCTACTGCGTCAACGTTAAGGTCAGTATGAAAACACACTCCCACACCTGAGCAGGTAATAGAATCCCTTAAAGGAGACCTGTGACGCTGGTTTGTATTTAAATACATAAATATAATACATAAACAACTTTGGATGTTCATGAAGTCCAACAGAGTTTCTGAACATGAGTCTGAAGAGACATCTGGGGAGTTTTAGCTTGAATGTAACATCAGGTGATGCCGTCCTGGAAGGACAACGTTAGCGGACATGTTAGTAAGCTCCTGTCCTGTCACACAGGGACAATTAAACTGGAAGGAACATTAATTTACACATAATCAAATAGATGTGGCTGATCTGGACACTAACCCCCAATTTTCACCTCATCTGGAACGGCTGCAATTTTTTACCGGACGCTAATTCCTACCAGATCCGTTTGTGAAGCAGATTTCACGGCTGATTACGGACAGCAGGAATCACGTTCAATCGTGCGATAACAAGTTGTCCCCTGAGCTGTGTACCGTTTAAAAACAGCTGAAGACGTGTTCCTGTAATGATCTTAATTCTGTCTCTGGTTTCGTGTCCAGATAACACGAGTCATCCTGACCAAAGGGTGGCGTTGTCTGGAGTGTACTGTGTGCGAGGCGTGTGGCGAGGCCAGCGACCCCGGTCGTCTTTTGTTGTGTGACGACTGCGACATCAGCTACCACACCTACTGTCTGGACCCGCCCCTCCACACCGTCCCCAAAGGAGCCTGGAAGTGCAAGTGGTGGGTCCACCTGTCCGTCACCCTTTACCGCCTGTACCTCACCTGTCAGTCAGCGGACTTTGATGAAGAGTGTGTGTGTGTGTGTTTCTCCGCAGGTGTGTGTGGTGTGTGCAGTGTGGCTCCACCTCCCCCGGGCTGCGCTGTGATTGGCAGTGTAACTACAGTCTGTGTGGACCGTGTGCCAGCCTGAGCCGCTGTCCTCTCTGTCAGAGACCGTACGTCCAGGACGACCTCATCATGCAGTGTCAGCAGTGTGACAGGTAACACACACACACACACACACACACACACGCGCACGCTGAAGTCCACGGTTCGAGAATAAACTACGACAGAATCATTTTTAACATCATGAAAGGTTTAAAAGCTAATCAAGAAACTGACAATGTTCAAACACCAGACACATAAATATACGTGCAGACTGAAGGAGATGATGGGTGTAAACGGTCAGCAAACATTTGTGGTCATTTTGGCGCCGTGGGCAGGTGCTACGCTGTAAACATCATGTGACTTTTTGTCATTAAAATGAAAAATAGGTTTTTAATATTTGGATTAAAGGCTTTGAATGAAAAAATATTAAAACTTAACTCTGTGAATTAAATTATAAAAATATGTGTGTGTGTGTGTGTGTGTGTGTGTGTGTGTGTGTGTGTGTGTGTGTGTGTGTGTGTGTGTACAGGTGGGTCCACGCCGTGTGTCAGGGTCTGCACACTGAGGAAGAGGTGGAGTCTGCTGCAGACGAAGGCTTTGACTGCTCACTGTGCCGAACACAAGGAAGAGGCTCCTACGGTAAACACACACCAACTTCAGGTCACAGTTTTCTGATCTTTGTGGAATTTTCACTCTGAAACAAAGATCTCTCATGTTGTCAGCTCATGTTTATTCGCTGTTATTTAGACATCTTGTGGTTTGTGTGTGTGTGTGTGTTTCAGGGAGGTCAGACAGTTTTGAGTCTCCCTACATGGCTCAGATCATCTCCAGGATCAGAGAACCGGGTCAGTCGGACTTTTTACTTCAAAGTTTGTTACTTTGCTGAATAAATAAATCCATTTTAAAACGTTTAAAAACTTTTTTTTTTCTGCTTAAAAATGTTCAGTGATCGAAGACTGAAAAATAAACTCATGATATTGTCGATAACCTCACTCTGTGTGTGTGTGTGTGCAGACTCAAAGACCTACACTCAGGACGGAGTGTGTCTGACAGAGTCAGGTCTCTCTCACCTTCAGTCTCTGGTTGAACCGCTGACCTCACCGCGCCGATACCGCAGGTAAACCCTCCGCTCTTCTTCTTCTTCTTCTGTGGTGGTTCTGCCTGATTCACGGCGTTACATGAAACTAATCCTACATAAGAGATGAGTGTTGAGTACATATCTAGAGTGAAGCCTGGAAACATATATGTTCTATGTTCAGTCCTGTCATTAAGACAATGATAAAGTTTCTCTTTAAGACTCACACTGCTCTAGCAGGAGCTCTGATTGGTCGTTCAGCTGACACCTGTGTCCATCCTGCAGGTGTAAACCCAAACTGAAGCTGAGGATCATCAACCAGAACAGTGTGTCTGTCCTCCAGACCCCACCTGACCCTGACATCCCCACCTTGCAGGACCACAACAGAGGTCAGAGGTCACCTGTCTTAGTGTCCTGACCCTTAAAGTCCTCACAAAGGCACCAAAACAAGTCTCTGAACACACACACACACACAGGTGCTCTGGTTTTTGAACACATCTCGGTACCTGTCTGTCTCTCTTCTCCAGGTGACTTAGAGTGTGAGATGAAATCTGACTCTAGTCCCGAGAGAGACCACGCCCACGATGATGACGTCCCCAAGGAGCCCGAGGTTACCGATGGCAACAAGAAAAGGAAGAGGAAACCCTACAGGCCTGGTGAGGAAGAGAGAGAGTCTGTCTCCACCTGCTCACACCTGTCTCTGTCTTCACCTGACTACAGTTCTACCTGTCCATCTCAGCCCTTCACCTGTCCTCACCTGTCTCACTTGTCTCACCTGTGTCAGGTATCGGGGGGTTCATGGTGCGTCAGCGCGGCGGGAAGCTCGGCCCGAGCAGAATCAAACTGTGCAGGAAGGATTCCACAGAGACGCTCCTGGGTCACGACGAAGGTGAGACGGCCCTCACCTGTACCTGTGGACACTCCTCCTCCTCCTGTGTAAACACACTCACCTTAACTCTCACCTGAACTCTGTGTTTAGACGTTACCATGGAGACGGGCGACCAGACGATGGAGAAGGTGAAGAAGAGGTACAGAAAGAAGAAGACGAAGCTGGAGGAGGCTTTCCCGTCATACCTCCAGGTAACACACGTGCACACACACATGCACACGTACACTCAGCATCCTCAGTGAATCCCTGCGTCCTGATTGGCTGTCTCTCTCTCTGCTCAGGAGGCGTTTTTTGGGCGGGATCTTCTGGATCGGAGCCGGCAGGTGGAAAAGAGGGTGGGGCCAGCTGCACCGGGTCATATCCAATCAGGGACAGGAACCGGAATCACAAAAGTCCCAAACACTGGAGTACATGGCCCCGCCCCTTCAGGTCTGCAAACTGGTGCCATGGCAACCAACGCCATCAGGAAGCAGGGGACGCTGCGTGAGTTTCTAACCTATGACGCCATTAAAAAAAAATCATTTTTATTAGTTTTTCATTTTTTTTCATCTCATTTGTGTTTGATAAACACGGAGAATCGTGTGTGTGTGTGTGTGTGTGTGTGTGTGTGTGTGTTTGTGTGTGTGTGTGTGTGTGTGTGCATGCCCATGTGTGTGATGTTCATCCAGCCATGTCGGAGGAAGCTCTGATGGATCTGTCTGATGTTCTCAATACTGACCCTCACATACTGGCTACAGGACACACAGGTACACACACACACACACACACACACACACACACACACACACACACACACACAGTGACAGTGAGGATGAGAGAAGATGGCAGCAAAAAAAACAACAGATTGTGTTTGTGTGACTGACGGGTGATATTTAGACAGGAAGGAGGGATGAGGAGGGTGAGGAAGGAGACAAAAGGAAGGGAAGGAGGAAACAGACAACAGGTGACATAAAAGGAAAGGAGGAAAGAAAACAACTGAATGTAAGGATGAGGAAATGAGAGTTTTACCCCCAATTTCCACCTTCATCCTGATCGTCTCTGAAAAGGTCGTATCCTCCGATCGTAGCTGATCGTCGGGCACAGACACAAAATAAAACATCCGACGAACAAGTGAAAGGTTTTTAGACGTCATTTCACCCCGATGACACCATGGATGAGGAGATGCTGATTCTAGAAGTCCAGAAGTAGATTTCCTCCTCAGGAAGGACACAATCTACTGCTTATGTGTCTATGTGTCGATTGAACATGAATCCGCAGGTTCTTGTGATTACCGCTGTCCGTAATCCGCCATGAAATTGGCGTACGGTCGCCGCCGTTCCTGATGCGGTGTAAACTGGGGGTAAACCTGCACTGATGTTCACACATTTACAGTCACAGTTCAATTATCTTCCTCCGTCTCCTCACACACACAAACACACACGTGTGTTTTCATGGTTTTCCTTCATTTCCTCCTCTTCTCATGTTTCATTTTTTGATGCCGATCAGTTTAATCACTGCGTCGTTATTGATTTTCGGGATGTTACAGATTCACTCAGTGATGTTGAAACTGTGGGTCAGTCTTTCCTCAAAGCAGGGCCGATATTTTCAGATATTTAAAGTTTATCAGCTCAGAGGACAGAGACTCTGAAGTCTTCATGTTCACCAGAGAGCTGAGGACTGAATCAGAGACTAAAGATCACGGATGACTGATTTAGAGATCGAAGAGGAGACGTTCAGAGGGGTTAGATATCAGACAGCTCTCTGTAGGACTCTGTCTCCCTGACGTTGTCGATGTTGTGTGGTTGTGAACCGCTGAACGACACCAACGAAGAAGAGTTTCCTGCAGGAGTTTTGTCCTCGCTCAGACGATGACAGAGTTTGTTTGTTTTCAGGTCAGTTCACGGTGGAGCGCTCGCCCTCGCCGTTTGGTAAGACTCTGCAGGACAACCTCAACCCTCCTCCTCCTCCTACTCCTCTTCTTCTTCCTCCTCCTCCTCTTCTTCTTCCTCCTCTTCTTCTTCCTCCTCCTCCTTCTCCTCCTCTTCTTTCTCCTCCTCCTCCTCCTCCTCCCGGAGTCTGGTTTTCAAACCTCCTCCCTGGATTTCGTTCTTTAGTTTCATTATAACCGACTAACAAACCTTCCTCTCAGATTTCTGCAGCACCTCCTCTTCCTCCTCCTCAAAGATCCTCCTCTTATTCTGCTGTTGAAGCCTCCTGCTCACTAACTCCCTCTCTCTTTCTCTCTTTTGTTTGTCTGTTTTTAACGTCTCTCTCTCTCTCCCTCTCTCTCCATCTCTCCATCAGCTGGTCTGGACATTGGCTCCATGGCTGACTCTTTGACAGGAAGTGGTGGGCGTGGTCAGAGGGCGGTGCCAGAGGAGCCTCTGGACGCCATCCTGAGTCCTGAGCTGGATAAGATGGTTTCTGATGGTGAGTTTGAGACGCTAAACTGACAAGAATTCAAACATTTAGAGGAGGTGTCTGTAAATCTCAGAGCTTTTATCTCTGTCATCTGTTGTTTTCGGGTTTTTAAATATTTTCTGTTTGATTTTCCGTCAGTTTTAACCTGATCAGTAATCAATTAATACCAAACATGACTTTTAGAGATCAGCTGACTGATCAATCATGTTTTTCTGCTGCAGGTGCCATCCTCAGCAAACTCTACAAGATCCCAGGTAAGACCCGCTCCTCTCCTCACAGTCCATCTTCTCAGGGTTCTGGAGGATCTCAGATCTGAGTTCTCAGGACCTGTTTAGAGGAACCTTTGTGAGAGTTCCCGCCCCTCAGCACCAGAGCGACTTTGATTGGTCTATTAGTGAATTGATTGGTTGAACGTAAAAGCCGACTCAGCCGCACTAAAAATTGAGAGACGCAGTAAAAACAGGAGCTGACAAACAGCTGAAGATGTGTGTGTCAGTGTGTGTGTGTTAATGTTTGTGTGTGTTTGTGTGTGTTTGTGCAGAGCTGGAGGGGAAGGACGTGGAGGAGGTGTTCACCGCCGTCCTGAGTCCAAACAGCAGCGGCAACAGCCAACCAGAGCAGAGCCAACACACACACACTGCTGGGAGCAAGACCAACACACACCACCACCCGGGTACACACACACTCACACACACACATTTTTATTATCATTATTATTAATATTAATATTAAAGGTCGACCTCCTCTGTCCTCCTCCTCTCCAGGCGCCGTGTTTCCTCGTCTTCCTCTCATGAACGGCCTCATGGGAGCTTCCCCTCACTTCACCAACGCTCTCATGATGCCCGGCGGCGCTCAGGCTCCAGCGGGGTTCAGGTTGCCCCCTCCGGAAAACCCAGGCCCCACCCCCAGACTGGCCTCCACCAATCAGACGCCAGCAGGTGAGGGGGAGCAGGACGTGATGTCGACGGCGCAGAGAGGAACGCTCAAGTGGGAGAAAGAGGAATGTCTGGGGGAGATGGCCACCGTCGCCCCCGTCCTCTACACCAACACCAACTTCCCCCAACTGAAGGAGCAGTACCCAGGTATTCACACACACACACACACACACACACACACACACACACACACACACACACACACACACACACACCTGCACTTAATCAAACATACAAACACAACTTTCAAAAATTTGATTGAAGTTTGAAGTTATTTGGTTTGTGATTTATGTCTGTTTTACCATAACCCTTTGTGTGTGTGTGTGTGTGTGTGTGTGTGTGTGTGTGTGTGTGTGTGTTAGAATGGTCCGCCAGAGTGAAACAGATCACCAAGCTGTGGAGGAAAGCCAGTTCCCAGGAGAGGGCGCCCTTCGTGGTGAGTTTGGTCCTCGGCTTGTTTTGATTCCATGATGAAGCTCCGCCCTCCCCCCACTACATGGTCATTAGGTCACATGTTTGGGTCCGTACCTGTGACGCAGGTGTTTGTTTCCTTTCTCTCGCAGCAAAAAGCCCGAGATAACCGCGCCGCTCAGCGCATCAACAAGGTGCAGCTTTCCAACGACCCGCTCAAACGCCACCCGCCGCTGCAGCAGCAGCAGCAGCAGCAACAACAACAACAGCAGCAGCAACAGCAGCAACCTGTACCGCTGCCTGGACCCTATGACCCCATTTCCATGGAGACAGATGGGACATTTAAAGACCCTCTGAGGCCCAAAGAGTCTGAACAGGAGCAGGAGTGGAAGCTGAGACAGGTGAGTAGTTTTTGAGAGTTTGTCTTTAACTCATCAACGCCATCATGAAGTAGAGCCTGAGAGAGAAACCAACACAAGACTGCTGTCAGCTTTTATTCTGAAGGGATCCTGTTTTATTCTGAAGGGATCCTGGTTTAAATGCCAGACAAAGTCACCGTTCATGCTGTGGTCACTTTAAGAGTAAAAGGCCTAAAAACACAGACCGCAGAAGAGTTTCGACATTTCTAAACTTACAGGTGGGGTAGTCAAGATCTGATGAACTCTACCCCTCCTAACCAGTTTTTCCCTCAGCTCCTCCCCTCCCTCTCTGCTTTAGAAAGCCCCGCCCACAAACAGACGCTCCTGCTCGCTCGTATCGTTCCAATTAAATTCAGATATAATGCAGATAAATACTTCAGATCATTACAAATGGGGCCCAGTCAAGGTGAAAGTCAAAAGCATTGGTGCTACTGTAGATGCCAACAGACTACCAGCAAACACAATGTTTGCAGGACTTCTACAACGAGGATAAAGTGACATAGTCCAGGACCCGAGGGAGGACAGTTTAGCGATGGCGCTACAACACGCTACAGCAGGTCCGTTTGACAAGAAACACTTCTGTTACAGACACTTGTCTTACTTTGTTAAAGCGGTTTACCTGTCCAGCAGAAAGGTTACAGGGTCACCAAGATCCCCAAGCGTCCCCCATGGTTTATGTTGACCCGGCTTTTTAGCTCTTGTCCGGTCTACCTCCGTTTTAAGCGCCCGTTATTCCTCCAGAGTCTCCGGTATTTACTTTGTTTTCTTGCTTGTGTCGGCAGTCGTGCCCAAAGGAGGATTCAGACAATTTTCCGAACTTTCTGGTTGGTTTCTACTGTCCGATATTGTAGCACGCTAACTTTGTTTGGGCTCCTGAACGACACGGGGGAGCAGCGTCTGCCTCACAACCAGTCAGGTCGAGTAGGCGAAGATGCTTCTTTTTACAGATTCCCGCCGACCCCACCTTTAATTCAAAGTCGTCCAAAGACAAGAGACGTCACTGTCTCAACTTCTGTGTAATCTGTTTCTGGCATCAAATTTAAAGTGAGAATTCATTTCTCTTAAAACTTTTTAACTTTTCTGTTTTGTAATCATCCTTAACAAAGGTGAAGTTCCTGTTTTCTGCCTCTAGGGGGCAGTGTGTTCATAAAAATCGGATAAATATACAAGCTCTTATCATCACAGCAGGCTGGTGTTGGTTTCCCGCTCTGAGCAGTAACCATAGTAACCTGCAGGCTGCATTCAGGGGGGAGTCAGGTGGATGGGGAGGGGGGGTCAGATGATGTCACTGTGATGAAGATGATGTCCCCCCTCCCCCCCACACTAACGTTGTCATGTAATTGTCATTGAAAAGGGAGAGGTTAATGACAGATGGGGAGCCGGTAAGAAGAGGCAGCAAAATCTCCCCCAAAGCAAAGCCCTAAAATCACCATCTGATAAAGATTGTCCCTACCAGGCACCTGTAGCAGGAGGGGGCACAGAGTCTCTGGTAAGATCTCAAGAAGAACCTGTTCTGGGCAGACTGTCCTGGATCCAGAACCAACTGAAATCCTCTTACTGTCCTGGATCTGTCTGCACTTGTACACACACACACACACACACTTCGGTTTGCAATCTGTTATCCTGGAGGTCAGAGGTCGAGCGCTAGAATTAAAAATGAACTTTTGGGTCAGAAAGTTTTTCTGAATATAAAAAGTTTTGAAGAAAGAAAAAAACGATCCGGTACCAGAAGATTCTGGACCTCCAGGACCTCCAGGATGTGAACTCTGGAAACTCGAGGTGTCTGACTGACAGACTCAGAACTAAAGAGGGTTTCAGACGGACGGACCAGGTGGGTCTTGCGTACTGATTCTGGGCCAGTTTACCTATCAAGAAACACGGGAGGGTGGGCGGGGCTAAACTGCTTTAAACCTTAATTATCATGGTGTCATTTGAGGGACATCTGAAGTGGATTTGGCCCAGAACGAGTGTGCAGGACCAGAGTCTGTCTCAGGACTGACTGATTTTATTCTGAAGGGGTAAAGCTGCCTCACTCTGAATGTGTCTCTGCTGTCGTCCTTTAACCCCCCCACCCTTCGCTCTGATCTGAGAACAGCTGCTACAGTTTTCTGAGTTTAAATACCGAGGCGTATATCTGACCTTTGAACTCTGACACTGAGCTTCTACACGTCCAAACAGTCAGTGGATTAAAACTCTTTCAGTCGGCCGACTCTTCGCTCTTCTTCTGTAACCCTCTCAGCCCCGAGCTCCTCCTTCTTACGCTCTGTCTGATTTCACCAGGGTCCTACTTCCTGTCACTAATCGGGTCTTTGCTGATGCTCTCCCTGCCTCAGGCTTTGGCATCCCACAAATACAAGTACCTGTTAACTGTCCATGCTTGGGAAGCTGGTTCCAGTGTTAACTCCAGTGTTCCCCATATACAGAGGCCACAGTGGTCACTGTCTGATCTACCAGCCTGGACCTTCTGCTGCATGTTTCCCTCAGCTGTCTTTAGTGTTGGGCGGTATGACGGTATAAACCGTGTGACGATACAAAAGCGTCTACCAGTAGAAATTTTGCTCTACCGTTTGTACTGGAGAGAGAGAGAGCAGATGTTGGATGTTACCCAAACAGGTATTATAAGTATATATATATATATAGACAGCCGAGGACCGTTGAACCAACATTCATTCAGGAGCCACATTTTCAGTCTGAAGCTCCTTTTCCATATTTTTCTGATTCCGCATGAACACGGCGTGTTCTCCTCGGCGTGTTCTCCTCGGCGTGTTCTCCTCGGCGTGTTCTTCTCCTGCTGAAGGACGACAGCAGCTTCACTTTCAGTGTGAGCAGGTGTGAAGAAGCAGGTGAGAGACAGACAGGAGAGGGCAGGAAAGACCGTCCCTAAACAGGACTAGAACCCCAGACCCTGAACCCTGAACCCTGAACAGCTGTTTGCGCTGAATTCATCACCCAGATCCATGTTTACTGAGCGAGCAAGAGAGAGAGAGAGAGAGAGAGGGACAGAGAGCATGATCAGACGCCATGTCATCATTTAAACTCCATCTGCTAAGAGCGACCAGCACTCTGACTCACTGTGTGTGTGTGTGTGTGTGTGTGTGTGTGTGTGTGTGTGTGTGTGTGTGTGTGTGTGTGTGTGTGTGTGTTCAGCTGATGCGTCAGAAGAGTAAGCAGCAGGCCAAGCTGGAGGCGACTCAGAAGCTGGAGCAGGTGAAGAACGAGCAGCTCCTTCAGCAGCGGCAGCAGCAGCTCCTGGCGGGTCAGCTGTCCCCGGACACCGGCAGCCGCAGCCCCATGACCCCCAGCCAGCTACCCGCCGTCGGGGGCAACGCCTCCCCCCTCCAACCGCAGGCCTCCAGAGAGTCCAGACAACACCTCTTTCAGGGATCAGGACTGGCTGATGATGTCTTCCTCAGACCCCAAGCTCCTCCCCCCTCTGGTTTCTCCTCGCTCCCTCACTCCCCCCACTCCTCCTCTCCTCTCCACCAGCCCCCGTCCTCTCCTCAGATGTTCTCCCCGCCCTCCTCACGTCCCTCCTCCCCCTGGGACCCTTACAGTAAGGTCGTAGGGACTCCTCGTCCCACTTCCTCCCAGACCGGCGGCCCGCCTGCCCCTCAGCAGCGCCGTAACTCCCTCAGTGCCTCCCCCGCCCACGATGCCTTTGGATCTCCTGCACCGTCTCCAGACTCCAAACCTCCAGACGTCTCCAGGACCCTCATACCCCAACCAGGTGAGTTCCCACCTCCTCCTCTGCACTGACTCCTCCCCCCTCCTTTCTTCTGACTCTGCTGATGATCCCTCGTTTCCTTGTTTCCTCCCTCCTTGATTCCTCCTCCAGGTCTACAGCAGAGCAGAGCAGGTATGATGACCCCTCCTTCTGGCTCCGCCCCCGATCCTTCAGTCCGACATGTGGGGATGCGAGCCGCAGAGACCTACCAAAGGACTCCTCATAACAGCAACATGCGCGTCGAGCAGTACCGGGTTGGAGATCTGGTCCAGGGCGGGCTGTTCAAAGCCCCCATGCCCCCCCAGCACCAACACCAGATGGAGGGAGGGGGGAGGCGGGACCCGTCTAGACCCACAGACCTGGGCTTTACCCTCCCCCAGCCCCAGGATTCGGCCTTCCCCTCCAGTCCGCTTTCAGGACTCGGCTCCCCCCACCGCAGCCCTTATACCCAGACACCCGGAACCCCCAGACCGGACTACACCCAGCAGATCCCTGACCCCTTCACCCAGCAGTCACCTCTGACCTCTCGACCCTCACCCGATCCTTACACCAACCCTCAGACACCCGGGACGCCACGGCCTCATTCAGACCCCACGTACTTACCCACTCCTCCTGCACTGAGACTGGACCAGTACAACCAGCAGTCTGCGAACCGCCGACCGTCCCCGTCCCACCCAAACCTGGACCCCTACTCCTCCAACCCAGGGACACCCCGCCCAACTGGCAGCGAGCGCTTCCCTCGATCACCCGGAAACCAGCGGAGCAGCGACCCTTATGCCCAGCCCCCGGGTACACCACGACCCTCCCCGGACACCTACGCCCAACAACCCTCCACGCCGCGACCCCAGAAGGCCCCTGAGCCCCTCAGCCAGCCCCCCACAGAGACCTTCACCCCTCAGGCCACAGGGTCTGTATCATCCCCCCTCGCTCCAGGACTGCAGGGAGAGACCGTGACCTTCAGCGGAATCCACCACCAGGTAACGGATCACAGTCAGAACATTTTAAGAACACACAAACCGAATTATCGCCTTATTCCGATTAAGATCGGACAACTGAAGTGCGTGTAAACACCTTATAGGGAATTTCCACCTTCATCCTGATCGTCTCCTAAAAGGTCGTATCCTCCGATCGTAGCTGATCGTAACCATTCAAGTTAACGTGTCAATTTACACCGACTTCTTTCCGTTCCTCTGAGGATCGCCGGACTCCTCAGCTGATCACAAGAGTTCTATTTTTTCCAGACGCTGGAGTCTCTCTGTGTCCACAGTCTTCTAACAATGCCATCTAGTGGCATGTCTGGGTACAGCAGTGATACTGAAGCTGAATTAGATTAATTCACTTATTTAATAAAACATCAAACTAAATAAACACTTTTTTCTCTCTGGTCAGCTGCAGCAGTCTCCAGGACGACATCAACATCAGCAGCAGCAGCAGAAGCCCGCTGTGATGTCAGAGGACTTTCCTGGATTAGCCGGTCAGACTCCGGTCCACGACCCCTTCGAGCAGGGTCACATGACATCAGGCCCCCCACAGGTAGACAAGACAACAACCAATGAGATCCCGGCTCTGACTGCAGATGGACCAATGAGCATGCTGCCTCAGCTGGGAGACTCAGAGGAGAAGCTGAGACAGGTAGGACAGGTGGATTCTGGTTTCAGGTGACTAACGTGGTTCTGATGGCGGTTTTCTGGTGCTCACCTCTTCTTCTTCTTCTTCTTCTTCTTCTCTGTCCGTCTGTTGCAGCGTCAGCGTCTACGTCAGCTCATCCTGAGGCAGCAGCAGCAGAAAAGTGCGTTACGACTGGAGAAAGGTCTCCAGGAGGCGGCCTCAGGAGCTCCTGTACCTCCTGCTGCTCCTCCTGGATCCACTCCTGGTTCTGTAAGTCCATGTCACTGGTCCCAGGAGGACACCTCCTCTGCTCCTCCAGCGGACCTGTTTGGACGTCCTCCACCCCCGTACCCTGGCACAGTCAGGCCTGCTGGGCCAAGAGGTGCTCCGGCCCCACGGTTCCCTGGAGGTTTCCAAGGAGAGCAGCAGAGAGGGTTCGCCCCCACAGAGCCTCCCTTCCCCAGACAGGGTCTCCCCAGACAGATGGGAGTCCGAGGACCAGTCCCCAGGTTCACCGCTCCTCCAGGAGCTCCTGTGGGTCTCCAGGACTCATTCCTACGTCCTCCTCAGGGATCAGTGCCTGGACCTGGGCTTACTGTGGTGGAAGGAGTCCCGGTCCAGATGAGGAGGCCTCTGTCGGGGGAGTTTATGGGTATCAGACCCCTCGCTGCTCCTAATGCTCCTCCTCACATGATTCCAGGTGAGACAGACGAGTCCTCACCTCCTCCTGCTCTTCTCCTCGTCACCCTGACTGTTTATATTTGTGTTGAGGGCTGTACCTAACGATGACTGTTTTATTGATTAATCTGACAGTTATTTTTTAATTAAAAACTTGTCCTGTTATTTAATTCGATGATTTACCAGCCTGAGGTTATTGTTGCTTAGCTAACTCAGAGTTACAATGACTGTCGAGTAACAATAAATAACATTCAGGCCACCTTTCATTTAATAGTGAGAAGGTCAACCAACCAAAAAGGCACATCATTTTGCATTGCATTGTGGGCCGCGGTCGGCATAATGATGGCAACAGTGTTTGTTTACATCGCTAAGTTAGACACGGCGTTAGATAACAGCGTTTTCCCTTTATGCGATCGATCGTGACGCACCGCCACGGTTAGATAAAAGACGCCACACTTTAAAAATGAGTTTTTTCTTGCGTGGATCTACCTCAGACTCATGTATCAGTGACACGTGTGCGGCGGAGCTCGCGTGTGCCGAGTATTAGCATGAGTGAGGTATCATCGGCGATCACACAGCTGATTAATTAGCGAGTTATCGGACAACTGAAAGAACAAACTGATGCTTAACAGCTGAAAGCCAGGAAGAACAGGAGGAGCTGCTGATAGATCAGGATGAAGTAGGTTTGAAATCAACGCCATCAGGTGGAGCTTGTTTGCCGTCCACGCCTCCGCCGTTACCTGAAGTAGCCATTGTCTACGTCATCATGTGTCGACGAATCGCCCCAGTCCTACTTCTGTTTGTTTTCATGAATATTTTCAGAGATCAGAACAAAACACTGAAACCTGACGTGACCTCTGACCTCTCCTCCCCTCCAGGTGTCCCCCCCCAGCCCTTCCTCCCTCGCTCCCTCCCCCTCCAGCAGCACAGCATCATGGGACAGCCCTACATCGAGCTCCGACACCGCGCCCCCGAGAACCGCCTGAGGTTGCCCTTCGCTCTGCCCCCAGCCCCGGACTCTGAGAACCCCCTCCTCCATCCCCGGGACCCCCACCACTCTCAGATCAGGCCGGGTCAGGTGGGGAGGATGGGTGAGACGTCGTTGACGGAGCAGCACCTCGGTCACACGGCGGCGCTTACGCAGAGCGGCGAGGCAGCGGGGGCTGATGGGATAGAGGAACACTTAGAGGGGGAGGACTCGGCGGTGAAGGACCTGGAGGACGTGGAGGTCAAAGACCTGGTCGACCTGAACCTGAACCTGGATCCTGAGGACGGTACGCCGCCATCACTCACTGTATCCGGGTCTTGGTTCTTGTTGTGAACCCGTCCAGACCCGTGACCCGTTTCTGTCTCTGTTCTGTTTCAGGAAAAGAGGACCTGGACCTGGGTCCCAATGACCTCCACTTGGACGACTTCCTGTTGTCGGGGAAGTTCGATCTGATCGCTTACGCCGACCCTGAGCTCAACCTGGAGGACAAGAAGGACATGTTCAACGAGGAGCTGGAGCTGGGGGAGCCGTCAGAGGACAAAGACGGGGGAGACAAGAGAGACGGCGGGGCGAGGAAGACGGAAGGCCACGCCCTCTTGATGGGTCAGATCAAACAGGAAGTCAAGACAGAATCCAGAGACGGGTTGGGTCAACAAGGGGTCAGCACCATCAGCAGACCACCGGCCCCTCCAGGAGCTCCAAGGGGTCCAGGGTCCATCCAGCCGGGTTCTTCTGGACTCCACATGAAGGTGGGACCTCCTCTGATCGATCAGGTTTTCATTCTCCACAGTTTGAGGAGCAGCTGATCAATAAAATCAACAATAATCAATAAAGTCTCTGATCGTTTCCTTCCTCCAGGAGAAGGGGGACGACTCTGGATCTGCTGCCCAGGATCAAGCTCTGCTGTCGGGCATGACCGCCCAGGTTCAGCCCCCCCTGGCTGGAGGTAAAAACATCTGATCAAGATCTTCATCAAGATTATTGACGAACTATTATTGATCGATCAGTTTATCAAAGTGATGAAGCCAAAATTCATCCACCTCATCCTTTCTCCTCCTCCACCTCCTCATGTGTCTCCTTCTCTTTCCTCTCCTCCTCTCAGGTCCACAGTCCGTCTTCCAGCAGAGACCTTTCGGACCTCCTCCATCCTCTTCAGGTGTCTTCACCTCCCCCCCTCAGGGTCTCCTGGTACCCCCCAACCCCAGTTTGACCCCTCAAGGCTCCTCTGCTCCTCCTCATCCTCTGTCCCTTCAGCCCTCCGCCCAGCCTCCCCTCCTCCTGAACTCACAGGCCCAGTCTCCACACCCAGGAACCTCCACACAGACCCAGAACCAGGCGGTCTTCCTGCAGAACCAAAACCAGGATCCGAAGCACCGTCCTCTTCTCCTGGAGGAGCAGCCTCTGCTCCTGCAGGACCTCCTGGACCAGGAGCGCCAAGAGCAGCAGCAGCAGAAACAGATGCAGGCCCTGATTAGACAGAGATCCACCCCGGAACCAGTGGTCCCCAACATTGGTAAGACCAGGACCAGGACACAGGATGGTAGGGGAAGGTCCCGCCTCCTTTGCCTCTGATTGGCTAGAAGTGCTGGGCTCCGATTGGTTATTCTTTATGGCTGTGAAACATCGTCTGTCGGGTTAGGAGATTCAGAAGTGCGATAATGTTCTGTTTGACGTACAGAGCCGACAGCCCGTGTTTGGCCTGAGCATGTGATGACGTTTCACAGCCAATCAGAGGCAAAGGAGGCGGGACCTTCCCCTACCATTCTACGAAAGAAAACATCACGACCAGGACCACTAGGCAGATCTTTGAACTTGTTTTCGTACTTTGATGATGAGTTGGTGTGTTTGTTTGTGTTTGTTCAGCAGACTTTGACTCCATCTCTGACCCCATCATGAAGGCTAAGATGGTGGCTCTGAAGGGGATCAACAAGGTGATGACGCAGGGCAACTTGGGCCTCAACCCCATGGTCATCAACAGGTAGGACGACCTTTGACCTTGAGTATTTAACCTGAAGGCAGGGCTGGGCGATAAATATATGAATTAGAACCAAGTATCAAACAACTCCATCATAGCAGACAGCAGCTCCACCCAACCATAGCACTTTAACAGGTGAAGCCGACAGCACTGTTGGTGAGAAACAAAGAAAATGAGTGCTACCCCCGACAGAAATGACCATGAAGGCTCAACAGATGACCATTCAGTCGGCGTTCTCTAGAGCGACGCCTTACGACAAAACGCCAAAGAGACACAAAGACCTCACAGATGCAGGAGATTATTGTGTTGGAAAAGACATGAGACCAATAAACACTGTTAGATTTTTATATCCTGATATTTATTGATATCAGCTGATATGAAAAAAATATATCGTGATAAACTTTTTCTCATATCGTCCAGCCCTACTTTGACCTGAAGAGTAAAAGGCAGAAATGTGTCGAAGCTTTAAAACCAGGAACTTATCAGACCGTAGTCACACCTGACGTCCGATCTGTTTCACAGGTTCCAGCAGACTCCAGGGACCCTGGTGGCTCCTGTGGCTCCAAGTTCAGGGAACTCAGCCCCTCCAACTCCCAACGTCGTGGTCCAGGTGTGTATGACCTCGATGGGGCTGAAGCGTGGGATTGTTTTTAGTATTTTAATCCAGGAAGTGATGTCTGGTGAGTGTGACCCTCAGTCCAGATGATCGTTTGTTTTCTTTTCAGGACAAGAAGTTGAACCCTCCTCTGGTGAGACCCAACCCCCCCAGCTTCGGCCAAGGCTTCGTCAGTAAGTGTCATCATCTGTCATGATAATGATCATTCAGTAACCATGGTTACCACCTTTGCACTCTTTAATACTAAATGAAAAGAGGAGATCGTCTCTCTGATGATCGGGGTTATTAATCCGCCCTCTTCCTCCCTCAGACGAGTCTCAGCGGCGGCAGTACGAGGAGTGGTTGGGGGAGACGCAGCAGCTCCTGCAGATGCAGCAGCGCCTCCTGGAGGACCAGATCGCCGCCCACCGCAAGACCAAGAAGGCTCTGTCGGCCAAACAGAGGACGGCCAAGAAGGCGGGGCGACCGTTCAGCGAGGAGGACACCGCCCAGCTGAGGAACATCACTGAGCAGCAGGGGGTGGTGCAGAAACAGCTGGAGCAGGTACGCCTGGTCTACACACACACACACACACACACACACACACACACACACACACACACACACACACACACACACACACACACACGCACACACACACACACACACAGATGTGGACTCAAACACTCACAGATGGTGTCGATGTTTCGGTTCAGATCCGGAAGCAGCAGAAGGATCACGCCGAGCTGATCGAGGACTACAGGACCAAACAGCAGCAGAGAGCTCTGCACCAACCAGCCGGACCCCCTATGATGCCCACAGGAGGACCCCCCATCCCCCAGACCCTCCTCTCTCAGCCTATAGTGCCCGTGCAGCCCCACACAGTTGGCCCCACGCCGGTACGGGTCCCGAACGTCCCCCCTGGTCCTGGATGGACCCCAGGGATGATGGGACAGAGGATGCCTCCTCATCTGCCTCGTCAGATGCCCCCCGCTGTGCCCAACGCCCCCCAGGCCCCCCCTCACCCTCAGCCTGCAGCAGCCATGGTGCCTGGGCTCCGACCCCCCACTGCAGGCTTTACTCCAGGCCCACAGGGGCCCACCGGAGGACCCACAGGACCACCAGGAGATGGAGTCCCTCCTCAGGTAAGACACCTGAAACATTTTCACTGATGGAGAATCAGACTGTGAGGACAGGACATCAAGACCTGTCTGTGTGTGTGTGTGTGTGTGCGTGCGTGCGTGTGTGTGTGTGTCTTTTCCCACCTGCAGGTGAAGTTTGACGACAATAATCCGTTCAGTGAAGGTTTCCAGGAGAGAGAGAGGAGAGAGAGGCTGAGAGAGCAGCAGGAGAGGCAGAGGGTTCAACTCATGCAGGAGGTAAGACACACACACACACACACACACACACACACACACACACACACACACACACACAGACACACACACACACACACACACAGGAGAAGAAGAACACTTTAAACACACTCCTGTTCCTCCCTCAGGTGGAGCGTCATCGCGCCCTGCAGCAGAGGCTGGAGCTGGAGCAGCAGGGTCTCCTCGGACCCTCTTTGGGTCCTGGAGTAGGAGCCCAACCCCAGTCTGGAACCGTTAGACAGACACCTGGTCCTGCAGGTCCTCCTGGATCCACAGCCTCCCCGGGGGGTGACGGTCTCTCCCAGATGCCGTTTTTCAGCTCTGAGCTGCCCCAAGACTTCTTACAGTCCCCTCCGGCCTCCAGACCGTCCCCTCAGCACCAGGGCCAGGTGGGGGCGCCCTTTGGTCACTCGAGCTTCATTGGTGGACCACAAAACCCTGGACGGACCCTGACGGAACACGGACCCCCCATGGATGTGGCTTCTTCTAACATCCAGACCAGACCGAGGCTCTCCGGCCCCGCTGGTCCTCTAACATCAGGACAGGTTCATCCAGGAGGGCTGACCCCCTCCCACCCTGGAGCTCAGCCTCATCGATTCGGACATGACTCCTCCTCTTCCTCCCCCTCCACCCCCCACCACCCCCCCTTCCCCAGCTCCTCCTCTGGAGGCCCCTCCTCCCTCATCCAGCTCTACTCGGACATCATCCCCGACGACAAACCAAAGAAGAAGAGGAGCAGGAAACGAGACGGCGAGGACTCTGCGGGGGGAGGAGCCAGGACGCCACTTTCATCACACTCTGATGACATCACAGCTCCACCCACTCCAGCGGTCTCAGACACTTCCTGTTCAACACCAACCCGGGGCAGTCTGGAGCAGTCGGACCTGTGCGTCTCTCTGGGCTCTGTCTCTGGTCTCGCTCCATCATCAGAGCTGGAGAGGCAGCTGTCGGTGATCTCTGCAGCCCAGCAGAGAGCCTCGGTCCTGGGCACAGAGTCTCAGAGAGGCCCCCTGTCTGCAGCCTGTCTGGAGGTTAAGGTCAGGGGTCCCAAAGTTCAGTCTCCTGTTCTAACGTCAGGTCTCTGTGGTTCCTGTCAAGCTCAGGTTTGTTTGGTCTCTGTGTCTCTGCAGGAGGAGCATGTGGAGGCAAGAGCCTGTGGAGGAGGTGTAGTGAAGATGGAGGAGGGTGTGGGTGAGGGGTTCTTCTCACCCTCAGCTGACGGAGGAAAAGAGCTGCTCAAACACCTGCTGAAGGAGAAGACCTCCCCGACCACCACGCCCTCACCCTCAGGTCAGCTCCCGCCCAACGCTTGCCGACAGCTGTCCAATGAAAGCATCCGATCTGAGGAGGAGGACAGGCCTGGTTCCCATGGCAACATGGTAAGAAGTCAAATGGATGTCAGCGGTGTAATAATCCAGAACAAGAACATGTTGATTTTAAACTTTCTCACAGCTGTTTGACTGAGTTCAGTGACAGAAACGTGAAAAGTCAGCAGGTGTAGAACCCTGGTTACCATGGTGACCGGTGTCTCCCTCCAGGTGTCGATGGACGGAGCAGGTGCAGACCTGTTGGACTCTTTCGGGAAGAAGAAGACTCAGCGCTGTAAAAGACCCGCCAAGCCGGAGAAGGATCGAGCTCCTGCCAAAAACAAGAGGAGAAAAAAGGAGGAGGAGGAGAAGATGCTCCTCAGCTCCTCCACCACCTCCTCCTCGGACTCTCTCATGACTCACCTCACACAGGTAGACAAAGACCCCTCCCTTTAGATATCCTTTTAATAAACTATTCTCCTGCTTCCTCCTCCTAAAGAGCTGATATCTTTATTGATTATTGATTTCCCCCCCAGCTGTCGGTGCTGCCCCTCATGGAGCCTGTTCTGGGGGTGGATCTGAGTCTGTTCCCCCCGTACGGCAGCTCCTCTCTGGGCTCCGACTCCAGACTGACAGGCTCCTTTGGTAACGCCTGTTTGGACGGAGTCACCGACTACTACTCCCAGCTCATCTACAAGGTAACCCCACAGTTATACCGCAGTAATACTGCAGTAATACTACAGTAATACTGCAGTAATACTACAGTAGTACTAGAGTACTCCAACAGGAGTGTGGCAGAACCAAATCAGAGATGTTTGACGTCTCTCTTCATCTCCCCCCCCCAGCAGAACAACCTCAGTAACCCTCCCACTCCGCCAGCATCCCTCCCTCCCACGCCTCCGCCTGTCACCCGACAGAAACTGGTGAACGGCTTCGCTACGACGGAGGAGCTGTCCCGGAAAGACATCACAGAGCAGGACGGTGAGAACGCAGCCGTCACACCCACAGCTTCGTCTGACAGACGTTCACTCTGACTTCACGTTAATCCTTGTTGTGATTTTTCTTCTCACAGTGAAAGGGGTGAAGCAAAAGGGGGAGGGGCTCTTGGGTCTTAATCACGCCTCCAAGACTGTAGACGTCCCCGCCTCGCTGCCGACACCGCCACACAACAACCAGGAGGAGCTGAGGTAAACATCAGTGCCGACAGAAGAGTTGATTCTCTTGTTTTTGGTCCTCCGCTCCTCCTCCCGGCGCTCTAACTCCTCTTTTCTTCTTCGTGGGTTTTCTTCCTCAGGGTCCAGGACTCTTCTGAGCGTGACAGTCCAGACGGCTTCGTCCCATCGTCGTCTCCAGAGAGCGTGGCTGACATGGAGATCAGCAGATACCCCGACCTCTCCTTCATCAAACTGGAACCGCCCTCACCCTGCCCCTCGCCTACTTTACCCATCATGCCGTGTGCCTGGGGTAAAGGTCAGTGCTCAGGAGTGTGGTCACATGTTAGGGTCAGCCTGCTGTGTTCATTATCGTGATGTTTTACTGTCGTTTTCATTTGTACGTTTGTGTTCAGGCTCTGCGGTCAAACAGGAAGTGAAGGTGGAGCCTAACCATCAGGGTCCTCCCTCCTGCTCCAACACAGACCTGGTTACCATAGCAATAACCCTCAACCCTTTTGCAGCTCAGGTGAGTGTCCCTCTTTTTCGTCTCTGTATGTTGAGTTGTCATCAGAAGCCCCTCCCTTCTGATGACATCACTATGTTTATGTTCTACAGAGCGTGGCGGGTGTGATGGCGGCGGTGGCGGAGCTGCTGAAGGTCCCGGTCCCCATCGACTACCAGCTGAGCCGACCCGCTGGCCCTGAACGCAGCTCTCTGGCCCTGCTGGCCGGAGTCAGAGTGCCGATGACACAGGTGAGAAAAAACGAGCGAGTCCTGAGCTGTGATTGGACGGTGTGTCTTCACTAACCTGCAGCTCCTTTTTTAAACTCATGACTGTTTGTAGTTTCATCAGACGGTTCTGCTCTCTGCTAAACACTCAAACACAGTCAAGACGAGCAGTTACTAACTTAGAGCGCTGTTGTTGTTTTTTTATCATTTATAGATATTTTATTGAATTCTTGGACTGATCAGATCAGAATCAGAAGTACTTTAATAATCCCCCGGGGGGAAATTGCTTTTTGTTACAATAACTCCAGTGCAATTAAAGTAGAAAGAGGAGATAAAAAATAGATAAAATAAGAAAAAAATGGAGATAATATACAAGTATGTACACTATGTACAACACAAATAATAAAATAGTATAATTGTGGATAAAGTATCAGACTGGGATGGAGGGTCCTGGAATGCTTGGTTTTGGGTAGTGGAGTTCTAATGTCCTGGGATCTGGAATCTTGGTGTTCTAGAATGTTGGAGTTCCGGAATGTAGGCCTGGTCGATTATACGATCGTGATCGATGATCGTGAGAAATTTCAGTTCGATCACGGTGATCAGCTGAGAGCATATTTACTCCATCAAACACAGCGGATAATCGTGATAATAATCCAGATCGGACAAAATCACAAAGTATATCCTGATCTTTTTTTTTTTTTGCCAAATCACCCAGCCCTACTGGAATGTTTGAGTTGAGTTCTGAAATGTTGGTGTTCCAGAATGTTTGAGTTCTAGAATGTTTGAGTTGAGTTCTAGAATGTTTGAGTTCTAGAATGTTTGAGTTGAGTTCCGGAATGTTGTTGTTCTAGAATGTTGGATTTCCTGAGTGTCTTAAAGAGACAGCAGCTGAAATGTGGTTTTCCTGGACTTGACTCTGTAATACGCTGTAAACTATGAAAAGACTCTTCAGAACCAGCAGGGAGACTGTACTCCAACTGTAAATTCTCCCTCTGTGAACGACATGAACTCGTCCATAAAGCTCAGTGTGAATTTAATGATTTTCCTTAAAAGAAAAAAACGTTTTCCTGTCCGGACAGTTGAACAGTAAAAGGTCTTCTTCCTGTGTTCATGATATTCTGACTGTTGTGTGTCTGTGTGTGTTTAGAGTCCAGCAGGTATCAGACAGCAGAGACCTCCACCTGCACCAGGTAACACTCTTGACTTCATACTCTTGTGTTTCTTCATTTCTTCTTCTGCCCCTCTCTGTGTTTTCTGTTCTTCTTCTCCTCTCTTCACTTGCCCCGCCCCTTACTTATAATTGACAGCTCCCTCTGTGTTGCCTCCAGGTGTCAGAATGAACTACATCCAACATGGCAGCTCTACTCCTGCTCCGGCCAGGCCTCAGTGCTGCAGCAACTGCAAGGTGCTCCTGGGAAATGGAGTCCGTGTCGTAAAGGAGTTCAAACAGGTTTAAAACACATCTGATCCTTTTTTTAATCATTGAATAAAACAAAATGGCCGACTGAGAGACTGTGTGTGTGTGTGTGTGTGTGTGTTTCAGGAGGGACAGTCAGGACCAGGATCCAGTCTGGTGTTCTGTAGTCCAAACTGCTCCGCCCTCTACACACCTGAGCAGAGCAGAACACCCGGGAACAAGGTGAGCCTCCAGGTCAGGTTATTGATCATTGTAACCACCTCAGCTGGAGGACCGCCATGTCACGGCGAAGAGTCAGTGACCTCACAGACCGTGTTTTTGCGTCCTCAGGCTGCTCCCGCCGTTCTGCCTGGATCTGACCCTCCCTCCAGCAGAGTGCAGCATCAGTACACCAGCAACATGTCCTCCATCACTGTCCACTCCCTCCTCCAGACTCCCCTCGCACCTCCCCCAACTTCCTCCTCCTCCCCTCCCCTCGCTTTCCCTCCTGCCTCCGCCATCACCATGGAGACCAGGCCTCGCATGGACAGCCTCAAGGTGGGAGGATATAAGAGCTGATCACAAAAGTTTGAAGTGTTTACCGCCACATGGCACACTGACTAACCCCTGATTGATCTGCAGGTGAAGGTGAAGTTAAAGCCACGCCCCCGAGCTGTCACAGGTGGAGAGGACTCGTTGTCATCACGTCAGCTGAAGAGGCTAAAGAGCTGCCGCTGGACACGCTGGAGCGTTAGCATCACACTCAGCAGGTTAGCCTGTTAGCATCACACTTAGTCTGTCGGCCAGTGAAGCAAAGCGGCTGCAGTCCTCGCCATCGTGGTCATGGGATCGATTCCTGGACGTGATCTCTCGCTCTCTCTCTCTCTCTCTCTCTCACTGGATCTTTAACATCTGTCTTTTTACCCAGGGGTCCATGCATCCCCAATGAGGCTGTTGCCATGCCAACAGAAGAGGAGGTTGATGAGCTGTTGAGGAAGTTGGGAACATGTCTTCGCCCTGAGCCGTTACCTAAAGACCAGCGGAGGTGCTGCTTCTGTAACCAGCAGGGAGACGGTCTGACAGACGGACCGGCCCGCCTGCTGAACCTGGACCTGGACTTGTGGGTAAGTTCGCCCAGCTCACCTGGACTCCACACAGGTGCCCTCTGGAACTCATCAGTCAGTGTTAACTATAGGTCTTAACTCCTGATGTGTGTTTGTGGGTCAGGTGCACCTGAACTGCGCTCTGTGGTCCAGTGAAGTGTACGAGACTCAGGCGGGCGCTTTGATCAACGTGGAGCTCGCTCTGAGACGAGGTCTGACTCTGCGCTGCGCCCACTGTCAGAGGACCGGAGCCACGAGCGGATGTAACCGCCTCCGCTGCACCAACACCTACCACTTCACCTGTGCACTGCAGGCGCACTGCACCTTCTTTAAGGTACCGCACTGAGACAGAAACGCACTAAAACCATGAAACACGAGGATCACCTCGTAGAAACCTGAACGATCTCTCCTCCGTCTTCTCCTCAGGATAAGACCATGCTCTGTCACCTCCACAAACCCCGGATGGTTCCTCTCAGCGGCGACAGGTCCTCCAGCTGCTCCCCCTCCTCCACCCCCGGCCCCACCCCTGACCCCGTGCTGTTGATGGCCTCTGACCCTTACGACTCTGAGTTGCGCTGCTTCGCCGTGTTTCGCCGGGTGTTCGTGCAGCGTGACGAGGCGCGTCAGATCGCCGCTCTGGTGCAGCGTGGCGAGAAGCAGCACACCTTCAGGGTGGGCAGCTTGCTGTTCCGCGCCGTCGGCAGGCTCCTCCCACATCAGATGGGCACCTTCCACAACAAGGCCGCCATCTTCCCTGTCGGTTACCATGCCAACCGCATGTACTGGAGCATGCGCCATAACAACAGGTAAAATCCATCACACGCAGACTCCCATGATGCATCACAGGTTGTTGGGATAGATCCGCCTCCTTTATTGATCAATAACTTGATTGGTGTATCGATTGTTCCTCCTCCTACAGACGCTGTAAGTACATGTGTTACATTGAGGAGCAGCAGGGGGAGCCGATGTTCAAGGTGAAGGTGGTGGAGAAAGGACACGATGACCTCATCCTGACCGGAACAACACCTAAAGGTAAAGATCAGCTGGTCTGTGTTTCCTGTACAAAGAGGAAGAACGAACACGGATCTCCAGAACCTCAGCAGTTCTGACCGTGTACATGTTGTGATGTGTTTGTGTGTGTGTGTGTGTGTGTGTGTGTGTTTGTGTGTGTGTGTGTGTGTGTGTGTGTGTGTGTGTGTGTGTGTGTGTGTGTGTGTGTGTGTGTGTGTGTGTGACTTTTCCTCTCTAGCTGTGTGGGACCAGATCCTGGAGCCAATATCCCAGTTGAGATCCACCTGTGGGACTCTAAAACTCTTCCCAGTTTATCTGAAAGGAGAAGACATGTTTGGTTTGACCACGTCTGCTGTGACCCGCATCATCGAGTCTGTACGTCAAACACACACACACACACACACTCAGAGTAATGGTTCAGTATGTGTACAGGATGTGTGTAAACGTGTGTATTTCTGCGTGTTTGTGTGTTTAGCTGCCTGGAGTGGAGGGCTGTGAGCGCTACACCTTCCGTTACGGCAGGAACCCCCTCATGGAATGGCCACTTGCCTTCAACCCGACCGGCTCGGCCCGGTCTGAGCCCAAAGCATGCCAGATCAAGAGGTACCACACCACACTGCTCTGACACACACACACACACTCACACACACCTGAGTGTTGGTCTGGACTCTCTTTGTTCACCATCTTCTCTGGTTTCCATCAGACCCAACCTGCTGAACAGCATCGCTCCCAGGTGTCAGGGAACCGTGGGATCCATCGTGGGCCTCGTCCCCGGCGTCCTCTCTCTCTCTCCAGGTGAGTCAGTAGCCGGCGCTCACCAGGGACGGCATTCCAAGTCGGCCCAGTACCGCCGCATGAAGGCCGATTGGAAGACCAACGTGTACCTGGCCCGATCCCGCATCCAGGTGAGACACAATAACCACGGACAGAAAATGAAGCTGCTGACTGATGGGCTGTCCACTGATCCAATAACTGTGTGTGTGTGTGTGTGTGTGTGTGTGTGTGTGTGTGTGTGTGTGTGTGTGTGTGTGTGTGTGTGCAGGGTCTGGGTCTGTACGCCGCCAGGGACATTGAGAAATGCACCATGGTCATCGAGTACATCGGCACCATCATCAGGAGCGAAGTAGCCAATCGGAAGGAGAGGCTGTACGAGTCACAGGTAACACACACACACACACACACACACCTGTTTAAACTAACACAAAACAGCGTGACCTCTGACCCCAACATCACACTGATGTTCACTGTGTGTGTTTGTAGAACCGCGGCGTATACATGTTCAGAATCGACAACGACTATGTGATCGACGCCACCATCACCGGAGGACCGGCCAGGTTGGACTCTCCAGAGCACCGGCTCAAACCGGTTTAGTTCTGTGTTTTTAGGTTTTTTACTGAATATTAATGACCCGCCCTCTGGCTTTGATTGACAGGTACATCAACCACTCATGTGCTCCAAACTGCATCACTGAGGTGGTGACAGTGGAGAAGGAGAACAAGATCATCATCAGCTCCTGCAGACGCATCCAGAGAGGAGAAGAGGTACACACACACGCGCACACACACACACACACACACACACACACTGATTAATATATGGATCAGAAATCAATCAGTGGAATCAAACATGGAGATTCAACACCTGGCAGAGCAGTGAGGTAAGAATCCGTCAGTCATGAGTATTTCCTGACAAGAGGAGGATGATGCACAGTAGACTGACGCTAACCACTGATTTGTTGAGCAGGTCACATGACCCGACTGTGGCCTGGTAGCTCATCAGTGTTCTGAGCTGTAGTCCATGTTAATGCAGTAATTAGTGCTGGGCGATAAAACTATAATGATATAAATGAATTATGTGTGTATATATATATATATATATATATATATATATATATATATATATATTTGAATAAGAACCAAGTATCAACCAACTGCGTCGTAGCAGACAGCAGCTACACCCAACCATAGCACTTTAACAGGTGAAGCCGACAGCACTGTTGGTGAGAAACAAAGAAAATGAGTGCTACCCCCGACATATGAAGGATTTATGATGTCATGTTAGTACGCCGTAACCAAAAGGTGAGGACGTGTTCTGTATCACACGCCATCTTTGCCTGGAAGAGAGAGAGAGGCGAAGGGATCACATGACCGAGTTCTGGGTGTGACCAGGATCCACCAGAGCGCCTCCATCACATCAGTGTTACACTGTGATCGCAGGGAAAACTGACCAATTAGAAAAGTGCAGTTCAGCTCCGCCTCTGACGTCACATGAAGAATAAAAGTAACACCACCCCCAACCCCCCCACCCCTCTCTCTCTCTCTCTCTCTCTCTCTCTCTCTCTCTCTCTCTCTCTCTCTCTCCCAGCTGTCCTATGACTATAAGTTCGACCTCGAGGACGATCAACACAAGATCCCGTGCCACTGTGGAGCCGTCAACTGCCGCAAATGGATGAACTGAACACACACACACACATACTAACACATACACACACACACACACCCAGGCAGCTCTCTCTCTCTGCTGAAGCTGGATGTCGCTCGCCCATCCTTCTGCATGGGCGGAGCTTCTCTTCATATCAGAGATCAATATAATAATAATATTAATAATGACAGATTAAATAATAATAATGAAGCTGATCAGCTGTGATCGGAAAGAATAATAATGATATTAATTATGATGATGACGGGAGGGTTTGATTGACAGATAAGGGGGCGGAGTTCAATAAAAGGGGTGGGTGTTGGTGGGTGATTGACAGGCGAGGGGGCGGGGCTTATGACGAGGCTGGTCCTCAGTGTGTACAGATGTAAATGTGTGAACGCCACTGAAATAACAGAATGTCGTCGTCCTCAGAGGAGCTTTATTAACTTGCACTAAAAAAACAGAAAACAACAAAAACAACAACGAGAGAAACTCCCACAGAGACTTACTTGATTCCTCCTCTCCTCCTCCCTCTCCTCCCTCTCCTCCCCTCCCCCCGCTCCTCCCGCGTTTGTTAATTTCATGTAAAATAAGAGATTTTTCTTTTTGTATTTATTACTGAATGAAGCTATTTTCTAAATCCACGGTGCGTTCGAGGTCTGGAGTGGCAGCGTGTAAATATGTGTATCATAAATTTAAAAACAAAAACTTTAGAAATCACTCCACCGAGAGCTACCTTAACATCCTCATCCTCACCTTCATCACCTGCCGATCGGAGCGTTTTGTTTTTATGTTTCCTGTCCCGACTCCTGAGGATCTGCGTTCTGATTGGACGATGACTGTGAATGGACTGAGCGCGCTCAGAGCGTTGGGCAGGTTTCACTGTGGCCTTCATGAGTTCAGTGTCTTTGTGTTAATTTTTTTTTTTACCCAGCGTTTTGGCTGCAGGCGTCTGATTTAAATATTTTTTCACTCTGCGTCGTGGAGCTCAGAGTCCTGCTGCCGTGTACATATGAGGTTTAATGAGGACTCTGACGTGTACAGTGAGACGACATGAAGCCTTTTCTGTTTTTATATTAATGGACGTAAACAGTGTGATGATGAAGATGAAGATGTGTTCTTTGTTTTTTTTTTTCTGTTTTTTTTTTGTTTCGTTTGTTTTGTTTTGGGGAAAAATGTGGAATCTGATTTAGAATCATTTACAGAAAATAAAATATTTTACATCTTGAACAAACGACTGAGCTGCTCTCTCTTACTCTGTGTGTGTGTGTCTGCGCTTGTTTTGCTATCTTTATGGTGACTGAGAGATATATATAAATATATTTATATTTATGTGTGTATGTTTATGTATTTTGTGTGTAAATGTGTGTATATAAATATGTGTGTGTAGCTATATACATATATATACAGTATATATATAGTGTATATATACACACTATATATATCTATTTAAATATATGTATGTATGTGTGTATCCTTATATACATGTGTATACACATATATAAATGTATGTGTATATACGTATGTTTGTGTATATATATATATATTTATATATATGTGTATATATATACATACATATATGTATATAAATGTTTGTGTTCATATATATGTATGTATGTGTAAATATATAGTGTATATTTACACACTTTATCTATATATAAATATGTATTTAAGTATATATCTATAAATATGTATGTGTGTATATATATATACATACATATATAAATGTATATATAAGTATATGTGTGTATATATATATGTATATATGTGTGTGTGTGTGGTTCTAGATTGAATACATGAAGGATTAGATAAATAAATGTTCTTATATTTATATTTTGCACATGTTTATAGAGAGGAGTGTTAGTGTTTTTTGTGTGTGTGATGGGTTGGGTGTTTTTTGTTACTTGTGTAAGTTTATGAGTGTGTTGGCGCCCCCTTGCGAACAAAGTAAGTATGTCTTATCAGAAAAGTCATTTATTAGTCAGGATGTCTCATCATTACTGTCATTCAGCTCTTTAATTTATAACCGACTGGACCAGGTCGATTTTACACAATGTAAAAATTATTTAGATTTCTCAGCAGTGAGTTTTGTGAAGTTTGGAAAACACAAGTTAAGATCTCTGAGCTGTTTTTATTTTGGACTTTTTGAGCAAATTCAGCAGTTCAGTAGAAATACATCAAGTATAGATCCTTCAAAATCAACTCCAGTTATTTTTATGCTTTCATGTAATAATCAGACGTGTTTGTTGTGTGTAAAGTTTTGAAAACATGTTTGTTAAAATATGATTTAAAGACAGTGAAACAGCTGACAGGATAAAAGGTCACTGAGATAAACTTTAATGTTGAGCTTTAAAACCACTATAAACAGAATAACATCATGAAAAATCAGCACATATACTTTTAATTTAAAATTCATTTAGATGAAATACTAATGCAGGACTTCAGTTTCTGTACTTTTACTGCAGTTTAGATCTTCACTCTTCCTCCACGGCTGAAAAGAGTCTGCAGATGACTGACAGCAGCAGGTGTGTGTGTGTGTGTGTGAATGTGTGTGTGTGTGTGTGTGTGTGTGTGTGTTGGTCAAAGGTGAGACCTAGTTGTCTGTCATTGCTCGTCCTCAAATAGACCCTCTCCCTCTCTCTCTCTGTAAACACTTCATCTCGATTGCCCCTCTCTCTAGCAGTGTCAGCTTCTCGGGGTCTTCATTAATCAGCCGATCGATATCTGATCGGGTCGCCTCAGCCGTCATGTTTACAAGGAAATAAAGACGACTCGGCAGGACGTCTGAAATGTTTCTGCAGTTAAAGGACTCGTTTTATGAGGTGAGAGATTTATGGATGTGTGTTTAAGAGTGTGTGTGTTTGTGTAAGAGTGTGTGTGTTTGTGTAAGAGTGTGTGTGTGTGCTCTTAAATCAGCTGCTGTGTGTGACAGAGTGCTAATTATCAAATCAACTTTTGCAGAGTTCATTACAAACTTTAAGCTCATTCTTTCTGCACAGTTTTCTGCTTTACTTTGTGCGTTCTAAGAGTTCCTTTCAAAATAAAAGCCTTAAATGAATAAGCAGTTAAAGGTCAGATATGTAACCTAAGAGGAGTTTAGATCCAAAACAGACTCGACTGACATGTGTGAAGTTACGAAAGTTAAATAAGACTTTTAAATGTGGGTTATGCATAAAAACTTGATGTGTTCCCTAAAATAAGAGTTTACTCTGAGAATAAAGACTCTGCTTTCAACCTGCAGGATTCACCAGAACCTGGAGAGAACCGAGACCTGGTCCAAGAGTTACATTTATGAACATCAACTCTGGAACAACACCTGATCACTAGAGGACAACAGCTGGATTTTGGAGTCACATCTGGATGACTCGAACTCTGGAGTTACATTCGAGCTCTAGAGAGTAGATTCGCACCTGTACACTTGAGGCACAGAATTTGACCTGTACCAGCAGGAGCCTCTAAAAGCACCTGGATGCTTAAGTTACTCCTGAACAACCCTGAGACTCAAGGGTCGTGTCAGACATGAGTTACCTAGAGTTACAGCTGAACAACATAAAGAAGCTGTAACTGAACACTCAAAACTCCTGAGCACCCCTCCACCAGGTGAAGCCTGAGAAACACCTGAACACAAGATTAACACCTCAACAACCCCCGGACTAGAAGTCACCATCGGACAACTCTCTGACACCGGGGTCAAATACCAAGAACGACCTCTGGACACTAGAGTACCACCTCAACAACATCTAGACATCTGGGTTAGACTTCAACAGTACCTGAGAAACACCTGCACATTAACTCAACATCACCTGATTAACATCTGAACATCCAAGTAGACAATAACACACCTGGACAAGGGGTTCACCACTGCAACACCTGGACACTACAAGTTACAACTGAAGACCTCCAGAGAAACACCAAGACAAGAGGTACTCCTGGACACAAGATGAGGGGTCCGCTCTAATACACCTGAGCAACACCTTTAAACTGAGGTGACACTGGAACAACACCTGAACATTGTATTGACTCTTCAACAACAGCTCAAAAACACCTGGACACAGATGTAACACTAAAGGAACACCTGGAAAATCGAGCTGCATCTGGTTCAAACCTAAACGACACCTGAAACACCTGGACGAGGACATAACTCCAGAGAGACACCAAGAAACAAGTGTTACACCTGGACTCACGGACCTGGAACATACCTGAACATTAGAGTGACTCTTGGGAACTAAAACACTGAGAACCAGGACTTACACCTGGACTCAAGTGAGACCTGGACAACGTCTTGATCTCAGAGTCACACCTCCTCCTACCTGAACAGGTTCAATTAAGAGAGGAGGAGTGAACTGAAGGAGGCCAGAGTGAGGAGCAGGAGAAGATGGGGGGATCAGTATGCAGAGAGGAGGAGAAGGAGGAGAAGAGGAGGAGTGAAGGGAGGGAGGAGAGTCTGACGTCAGCCGACAGAATCCGTCGAGTCGTCGTCAAACAGTTCGGATATAACGTCCTGAGTCTGGCTCGCCGCGGACTGAAGGTGAGACTCAGACAGGAACAAACGATCGCCGACATATCAAACTCTTGATAAAGTCACACTTAGCACATCATGTCCTAAAAGTGTCCCTCTTTTTGTGGTCCCCTCAGGAGGCCCCAGATGAATTATGGGAACTGTTGGAGTTGGAGAAGCTGAACCTGTCTCTGAACAGTCTGAAGGTTCTTCCTCCTCAACTCGCTCTGCTGTCCAACCTGGTGGTCCTCAACCTGTGGGGCAACCAGGTAACACACGACACCACCTCCTATTCAAGGAGCTGCTAATGTTCATAAGTGAGGGGGAGTGCAGTTAAATGTTAACCCCATTAATGTGACCCTGGAGAAGACATGAGACCCCCCCTCGTCCCAACAGCTGCTGCAGAAATAAAAGTTCTAATCAGCCTCTAATCCAGCAGGATCCAGTTTCTGTCCTCTATTAACCTTCCTCCTCCTCCTCCTCCTCCTCCTCCTCCTCCTCTTCTTCTTCTTCTTCTTCCTTCAACCTTCACTTCATCTGCTCTGAGAAGAACTCAGACACTTTAAAGATGAGGCAGCGCCCCCTACAGACAGCTGACTACATAATCATGTTCAGTCTCAGAGAAATGATGTCAATTCATAATAGAAAGAGCTGAAAATACTCTGATCTATTACATTTAAAGAAAAGTACATCCTCAGAGAGAGTCTGTGTTTTTGTACTTCGAAGTTTTCTCCATATGAAAACTTGATGTTGTGTTTCTCAGCTCAGCTGTCTGCCGGCAGAGATCGGTCAGCTGAGGAGACTTCGGGTTTTATTCGCCTACAGAAACAGACTGACTGAAGTTCCTGAGGAGCTGGGAGCCTGCACACAACTGGAGGTACTTCAAGTACTTATATAATACTACAACTACTGCAACAATTACTTTACTGCTGCAGAAAACATCTCCATACTGTTGAAAATACTACGACACATAGAAATACTTTTCTTCTACTCTAAAAATAACTCCTCAGCCTCAGAGGACATTTCTCGTACAACTGAAAATACTGCAAATACTTGTATTAGTGATAAAGTTCTTCTACTACTGCAGGGAATATTCAAATACTGCTTAAATGTACTTTTACTACTGCAGAAAGTACTTAAATCTCTGCACTGATAAGAGTCTGTTTGACACCAGCCGGCAGAGGAGAGGTGAACCTATCAGAGCAGAGTAAGAGGTCCGAAGGTGGATCCCTGTGGGACTCCAGTGACAGATCTGGGATCTACCTGGTCCTGCTGGAGTAGATCAGGTCTTCAGTTCCTGTCCTCCTGGTCTCACAGTGTTTCTGTGTCTCAGGTGTTGAGTCTGGCCAATAACCAGCTGACCTCGCTGCCCGCCTCCCTCTCCAACCTGACCCGACTCAGGAAGCTCAACCTCAGTCACAACCAGATCGCTCACCTCCCGGGCTGCGTCTACAACATGAAGGCTCTGGTACGTTCAGGACCGTATCATACCGACCCTGACTGAACGTGAACCTCAGGAGCCACAGTTTTCACCTCCTCTCTACCTGCAGGTGTTCCTTCACCTGGCCTGTAACCATCTGGAGAACCTGGCGGAGAACATCCAGTCCCTGGTGGAGCTCAAGATCCTCATCGTGGAGGGGAACAGCCTCCACTCTCTGCCCAAAGCCCTCTGCTGCCTCACCAGGTAACGTCTCACCTGAGATGATGCAGCTGTCTGTCTCAGCAGAATCAAACTGGACTGTTTTAGTTTGACCCAAAATAACACGATTCATTATTTTTAACTTTGATCACAGAAAATTTCACTGAATTTCACAGGTGTTAATGTGATAAAGGTGTTAATGTGATCTGTGGTCTGTGCAGGTTGGAGTTGCTGAATCTGGATTTTAACGATATAAAAGACGTCCCTCAGGTAATAAAAACTGAACCTGAATCAAAGTCTGTCTACGATCCTAAATGAAGTCTCAGAATCAGTTTCTTCATAATAAAAAAATGTCTGAAATATAAAACGATGATGATGATGGAGGTGACAATGATCGTCACAGACATGATGATAATGTTTCCGATGATAGTGTTGTCATGAAATAGACAACACAAAGATACAATACTGTGATGATTGTGACAGTTATGACATTGAAAAGAGTAACAATTCAAACTAATATTGGTTATGATGATGATGATGATGATGATGATGATGATAATGAAGATGATGATGATGATGATGATAATGATGAAGCTGATGATGATGATGATGATGATGATGATGATGAAGATGATGATAATAATGATGATGTTGATGTTGATGATGAAGATGATAATGATGATGATGATGATATTCATGATGATAATTATGATGATGATGATGATGATGATGATGATGATGATGATGATGATACTGTTATCATGTTCAGGAGATGCACCGGTTGTCCCACCTGAAGAGGCTGGCCTGCCATCCTCTGGATAAAGGTCTCCACATCGTCCACAACCCACTCCTGAAACCTGTGAAGGAGGTCCTGGAGGGGGGGCTCACTGCCCTCTACAACTACCTGAGAGCCACCTAGAGGTGGGGGAGGGGCTTCCCACAGCTTGTTTTATTTAGGGGAGGGGCTTTGTTCCACCTGAAGGCTGGGTAGATATTTGACTTGGACCTCTGGCAGATGGACCTCTCAAGCACTTGATCACCACTGAGACCTTTCAAACCTCCTGAGATCCTGAGAGCTCATTTTTGAGGAAGAACAGGTTTTCTTATCATAAATTAATAACTTTCTATTAGACATGTTTAGATGGAGGGGTTGGACCTCATGTCTCAGAGCCGAGGAGAAGAGGGTTGAACTTTTTAATTTGAGAGATTTTGAGGAGGACTCAGATCGTTCTGTTATTTTATTATATATTTTTATCCAAGTGTCTTTTTGTTCATAATGAAACAAAGTCGACTTTATTGTGTATTTTTCAGTCTTTGTTATTGTTTTGGTTTCTCTCTCATTAAACAATCAGCTGCTGTTAGCTGATTGGTTAATTTACCGTCTGAACCATCTCTCCTTTGAGCGACCGGACGACATGATTGGAGAGCAGGATCTCAGCTCAGACCATCAGACATGAAGATCGATCATCCACCTGAACCTGCAGCAGGTAACAGCTCACTGATGGGTCTACTGCCCTGAGTTTGGCCTCACAGGTTACAGAGTCTTCATACCACTGTCCCCATTAAAGACACCATGTTGGTTTAAAGACTGTGAGGAAAGTTACCTCCTGATATTTGATGGTGGTGGAGACACTAAATACACAGAGTTGGTTTAATGGTTTAGAGTGAGAGAGGAAAATACTGCTCTCAACCAAACCCCAAAAAATTTCTCTGCTGTAAAAAAAGTGAATAAAATCAGAGTTTGGTGTTTGTAAATCATTGATACCTGATATATTTCATAGGAAATCTCTGTGCAGAAAGGTAGAGACCCAGAATCAATGCTGGATGGTCCTCAGGCAGCACTGCATTAAAAACAGATAGGACTCTTTGGGAACAGTGTTGCTGCTGTAACTCTTCTTTGTACCTCTAGGGGGCAGCACAGAGCAACAAATGGTTCCTGAAGGAGGCACTGGCTGGCTCTCAGTGATTCAGAGCAGTTTGATGTTCTGACTGAGGACTCTTCATTTTCACGAGGACAGGAAGTTTTATTCAGAGGAAACATTTACGACTTTGTTTACTGTTCTGCCTCTTCAGTCCAAATACCAGCGTGTTCAAAGTTCTCTTCTCAAAGGGGAAAATTGGGTCCTTTGGTAATTTGGCCCTATTATAGTGTACTGTTGATTCAGTTTACATGTAAGCTTTGAGAGCCAAGTTTGGTTGTCAAAAAGTATTCAGGTGTTAAATCAGTTTACTTCATCTTTTAAAGGTGGGGTCGGCAGGAATCTGTTAAAGAAGCATCTGCAAAAAATCTTTTAATATCAGTCAATAGTTATTAGTTATTGATGACATTTGGTAATATATCGATATCTCTGTGTTCTCTTATGTCTGTGTCGTCAACATTTGAACATTTTTGAGCGGTCCGCTCTTTCTGACTGTAAACAAAGCCGTTCTCCACCTCCTCTAACCTGATTGGTTGTTAGGCAGACGCTGCTCCCCCGTGTCGTTCAGGAGTCCAAACAAAGTTAGCATGCTACAATATCGGACAGTAGAAACCAACCAGAAAGTTCGGAAAATTGTCTGAATCCTCCTTTGGCCACGACTGCCGACACAAGCAAGAAAACAAAGTAAATACCGGAGACTCTGGAGGAATAACGGGCGCTTAAAACGGAGGTAGACCGGACAAGAGCTAAAAAGCCGGGTCAACATAAACCATGGGGGACGCTTGGGGATCTTGGTGACCCTGTAACCTTTCTGCTGGACAGGTAAACCGCTTTAACAAAGTAAGACAAGTGTCTGTAACAGAAGTGTTTCTTGTCAAACGGACCTGCTGTAGCGTGTTGTAGCGCCATCGCTAAACTGTCCTCCCTCGGGTCCTGGACTATGTCACTTTATCCTCGTTGTAGAAGTCCTGCAAACATTGTGTTTGCTGGTAGTCTGTTGGCATCTACAGTAGCACCAATGCTTTTGACTTTCACCTTGACTGGGCCCCATTTGTAATGATCTGAAGGATTTATCTGCATTATATCTGAATTTAATTGGAACGATACGAGCGAGCAGGAGCGTCTGTTTGTGGGCGGGGCTTGCTGGAGCAGATCCTGACTACCCCACCTTTAAGTCTCACATTTTATTGATAATTATGCACCAACAGTCTTTAACTTCCACCTCTGAATGTTCCTTAAATATCTATCTGGACGTAGGTGATTGAATGATAGATGTCCCCTCTTTCTGCTTGTGCTCTGCCATGTTCAAAGGAACCCGACATGGTGGGCACCAGGGGTTTGAAGGACTAGCCCAGTCCTCTCACCTGTAACTTTTAGGCTACCTGCTATCCCCACAGATTCCAAAATATTACAAAGAGAAAATGTCTTCTGTTAGAGGCTTTCTGTGTGATGGTGCCCCGTGGTGCCCCATGGTGCCCCTGTCCCTCAAACAGTCTGAGTACACCACTGGGTCTGAATTGGCAAGAATGAATCTTAGTGTTTCTGTTATTATTAAATGTAAATCTGACTGTTTTTGACTCTGAAGCATGAAGAATGTGATCATGTAAACATGTTTTTGTCATTGATCATGTTTTGATTGATTAGAGAGAATCTGATCATCTTTAGAGTCTCTCTGCTGTGAAGAAATCCACTCCTGTTTTTCAGATAAACTCCTGAAGTCTGTGCAGTGGATTTGAGATTCAGTTCAAGGCCCTGCTGTTAGGACTGTTGATTATTAATCATGTGTTTGAGATATTAATCATGTGTTTGAGGATAGTATCACATGTTATTCAGATCACCCCGCTCTGCTGCTGCTGCTGCCGCTGGGTTTTAGGGAGCGTGTGACCAGCAGGGGGCAGTGTTGTGACTCTAAACCTCGGCCCTCGTCCTCTCAGTGTGCAGCTGTGATTCTGAGACCTGCAGCTCGTCATGTGAGTGTAGCCTGTTCAGACTGTTACATGACTTTATTTATTTAAATGTCTTTAAATCTGATCCTGTTTTATTCTGAAGGGCAGCAGAGTGAACACAAATATAATAAACACAGTAAAATGTCACAGTCAGTAATAAAAGGTGACTAAAATAGTTTTTAGGAGAGGTGGAGAGGTAAATATTCTACTGAAGTAAAAGTAGGGTGATTTTAAAAGCATGTAACTCACGTAGAAGTAAAACTAATCTGTTTATCTATTCAAAGGTAAAAGTACCTTTAATCTGAAGTCTAAAGATATGCAGCCTGAATAAGTTCAAGTATATTCTCCCAAACTAATGTGTGTAATAAAACTAAGAGCATTAGAGTAGAAGGTGATTCTGACTCTGCAACTACACCGATCAAAGTTAGTGAATATTTGTGCAGCCTCTCTGTTGGTACCAGCGGTCCCTGCTCACTAAATCATGGCCGGCTGTGCAGAGAGGATTTTTATTCCAAGGCAAAAATAAAGACTGCGTTTGGTTTAAAGGAGTAAACATGTCCGCAAATGCAACAAACAGAAAGTCCTTTAAAACTAGAGGTGATATTTACCTTAATAAACGTGTCAGATATATGTTGGTCTGTAATATCTTGAGAGAGCGAAGCTGAAACTCTATTTTATTTTTGCTATTTTACGTAATCTTTATTTTTCTTACTTCTTTAAACAACCAGAAGTCTGAAATCAGAACAGTAGAAGTCATCTGCATTATCTATATTAGGCTACGTTCACACTGCAGGTTCTGATGCACAATTCCGATTTTTTGTTGAATACGATCTTTTTGTGCGGTCGTTCACATTACAACAATGCGTCCGTGAAGTGACCCGCATGAGCACAAAGCACAAATTGCTTTCCGCGCCTGTTTGTGTTGTTGAACAATGGTGACGTTTGTCTCATATTGATGACGTATAGGTCAGATGAACGCGACCTGAGCTTTAACACTGCAGTCACATCGGACACATATTTATATCCACACACAAAAGAGGCCTGGGTCGGATTAGAACCAATCAGAACTGACCTGTTCACACTTAGATGAAACAGTCAGATATGAGTCACAGATGGTTAAAAAATCAGAACTGACCTGCAGTGTGAACACAGACCAAGTTTAAAAAACATGAAGTTTAATCAAATATTTGGTCTAAAGTTAAAACTGAAAACTTTCCATTCATGGATTACAGAGTTTTATGTTTATTCTAAAATACAGACCGTATATAAAAAGAAATATGTAAAGAAAACACATGATTTCATAAAATCTAGGAAAATCTCTGCCACAGTGATAAGATGACAACATTTGTTAGTGCATATATAAATATATACTAACATAATACAAGTATCTATAAATATATGTATATACAGTATATTTTTGGAGGTTTCTCGCCTGTTTCATGTTTTCACCTTTTTTTCTCTGTAACACTGAAAATCAAGTCAAACTCACCAGAACCTGAGCCGAAGAAAAAACACAAAAATACTGAACAGGGATTTTAATAAACCAGATAAAATATTTTAAATACTCACTAAGCTTCATAAACTGTGAAAAAAAATTAAATAAAGGAGGAAACAAAGAATTACAGAAGTTTAGAAAAACCGATAATATCGATTAAATCGAAACTAGAATGCGTAAAGATAACAGACCGATCGTTTCAGCTGAACTCTCTCTCTCCCTCTCGTGCCCCCCTAAAGTCTCTCGCCCCCTGTGACGTCAGTGGCTGCTCGGTAAACGGAGTCTCTCTCTCTCTCTCTCTCTCTCTCTCTCTCTCTCTCTCTCTCTCTCTCCGGTCCAAGGAAAGACAAACGGAGCAAAAAGAAACCGGAGAGACACAAACCGTCTGTCCGCGCGCGCGTGTGTGTGTGAGTGTGTGTGTGTCCGAGAGCGGCACACCGGAGGAACAACACAAGAAGAAGAAGAAGAGAAGAAAGAGGAGGATAAAAAAGGAGAAGGAGGAGAAGAGGAGAAGTGTTTGGGAGTTACTGCTTAGTTTCCCTCGCGCTCCGGAGGGTCTCGGTGTGAACATGGAGCGGACCGGAACTTTGCTGCTGCTCCGCGCGGCTCTCGTGCTGCTTTCACTGGGACTAACGGGCGCGCGGGCGGACACCTTCAAAGGTAAGCGGTCACACACACACATTTGGGGTTCATATCAGTGTGTGTGTGTGTGTGTGTGTGTGTGTGTGTGTGTGTGTGTGTGTGTGTGTGTGTGTGTGTGTGTGTGTGTGTGTATTAGGGGGTCTGACTGACGGAGGAGGAGGAGGAGGAGGAGGAGGGGGAGAACATGGGAGTTGTTTCTGAGTGTAGGCATCCAAGTTTCCAGCTGGAAAATCTCCTCCTCCTCCTCCTCCTCTGTTTCTGTCTGACTAACTTTATTTAACTGAGCTCGAGTACAACAGAGTACTAATACTGCAGAAAGTACCTCATAAATACTGCGTAGAGTACCGTCACACAGTCCTCTGTGAGTCTGAACTCCATC